ATAAATTTCTAAAAGCCAACAGCAAATGCAGCCAGGACACGGACACTGACACAACACATCTGTGGCATTTGGCATGTGGCAGGTGGCTGGGCAGGCTGTGTTCGTTGTTCATTGCATTCGTTTTTGGATTTTACAAATTTAATTGCATTTGTTTATACGAGTACGAACGAACAAAAGTGTACGTGTATGGAAAATGAGTTTAGCAGAAACAGAGTGGCCGGCCAGCTGCACAAATGGAGTCGTCTCTACAGAACAATTGAACGTACGGGAGCACTCGTAATCATATTTGTATAGCTTCCATCCCACCTTTCCCGCGTCTCTCTCTCTCTCTCTCTCTCTTAGAGTACCCATTTTCCCCAGACTATTTGTGGTTTTTCGATAGATTTCTGTCCGATTTTGTTCTACGATTATTCAAACAGACTAACCAAACACAGACCACCCCACCCCACCCCACCCCGAATTGCACTGGACTGGCAATGACACGTCTCGTAGATGTTTTTATTTTCATATTTTCTGAGCTGGCGAGTATTTAAAATTACCCCCATGAGGTACACCGCAAATGCAACTTCCATATTTTATCTGCAGATGGAGATAGAAACTCTTCGAGCTAATGATTATTCGATTGTCGTCTTGACTGCACTCAATTCGACTGATTTGCAAGTTGAATAAATGTAACAGATCCCACAACTTGCTTTAAAAGCGGTTTATTTGATATATTAAAACTTACCATCTGGCCGAGTAATGCGTGTGGAATTAAATCACCCGAACCGAACATCTTTCATAAAAGACAAACATGTGGTCGAGGAAGGTTATGTTTTTGAGGAGGAGACGAAAAAAACCACAGAATAAATGGCGGAAGATAACCAATTAAATGAGGATACCATACAGAACATACCTGGATATACATATAATACAAAGATTTTCATTAGATAATATCTAATTAGAAAATCAAAAATTGAAATTTAATTTAAGTAAACTACATAAGTGATTTTTTTTTACACGACCTTTTCAGAGCTGCACAGTCCACAGCGCAATTGCTACACACCGCCGCCAGCACCGATGCACGGACAACCAACCCCACCGACAGCGGCATCCTCCTCTGGAGCCACTCCAGCTCCTCCTGTTTCTGGAATCACAGTGCCGCTGCAGTAGCAGCAGCAGCTGCGGCGGCAGCGGCGGCCACCTCCAACCAGTCATTGTCTTCGGCCGAACAATCAACGATGTCCCGGATCAAAGGCCAGAACCTGGGCCTCATCTGCGTGGTCTGCGGCGACACCAGCTCGGGGAAGCACTACGGATTCCTGGCCTGCACTGGCTGCTCCGGTTTTTTTAAGCGCAGTGTTAGAAGGAAGCTCATTTTCACTAGATAATATCGAATAAGAAAATGAAAAGCAAACATATATTTATATCGTGTCGTTTTGTTTTTTAGCTGCAAGGCTAAGCTTTCAGCTTATCCTCATTTAATTGGTGATCTTCCGCCCTTTTTTTAATTTTGTTAAAGTCTAATACGCGTTCGGAAAGACAGAGAAGTGAAATTTGTTTTTCAGCTGAAAGGCTGAGCCATCCAGAACATATCTGGATATACTTATAATACAAAGATTTTCACTAGATAATATCGAATAAGAAAATGAAAAGCAAACAGATATTGATATCGTGTCGTTTTCGGAAAGAACGAGAAGAGAAATTTGTTTTTTAGCTCAAGGTTAAACTTTCAGCTTATCCTCATTTAATTGGTTATCGTCCGCCCTTTTTTTAATTTTTTTAAAGACCAATACGCGTTCGGAAAGATAGAGAAGTGAAATTTGTTTTTCAGCTAAAGGCTGAGCCATCCAGAACATATCTGGATATACATATAATACAAAGATTTTCACTAGATAATATCGAATAATAAAATGAAAAGCAAACATTTATTGATACGTATCGTTTCGGAAAGAACCGAAAAGAAATTTGTTTTTTAGCTGCAAGCTAAGCTTTCAGCTTACCTCATTTAATTGGTTATAGTCCGCCCTTTTTTAATTTTGTTAAAGTCTAATACGCGTTCGGAAAGATAGAGAAGTGAAATTGTTTTTCAGCTGAAAGGCTGACCATAGAACATATCTGGATATACATATTATACAAAGATTTTCACTAGATAATATCGAATAAGAAAATGAAAATCAAACATATATTGATATCGTGTCGTTTTCGGAAAGAACGAGAAGGGAAGTTTTTTTTTTTTAGCTGCAAGGCTAAGCTTTCAGCTTATCCTCATTAAATTGGTTATTTTGAGCTGCAAGCTGGATATAAGTATATCCAGATATGTTCTGGATGGCTCAGCCTTTCAGCTGAAAAACAAATTTCACTTCTCTGTCTTTCCGAACGCGTATTAGACTTTAACAAAATTAAAAAAAGGGCGGAAGATCACCAATTAAATGAGGATAAGCTAAGCTGAAAGCTTAGCCTTGCAGCTCAAAATAACCAATTAAATGAGGATAAGCTGAAAGCTAAGCCTTGCAGCTAAAAAAAAAAACTTCCCTTCTCGTTCTTTCCGAAAACGACACGATGTCAATATATGTTTGATTTTCATTTTCTTATTCGATATTATCTAGTGAAAATCTTTGTATAATATGTATATCCAGATATGTTCTGGATGGCTCAGCCTTTCAGCTGAAAAACAAATTTCACTTCTCTGTCTTTCCGAACGCGTATTAGACTTTAACAAAGTTAAAAAAAGGCGGAAGATAACCAATTAAATGAGGATAAGCTGAAAGCTAAGCCTTGCAGCTAAAAAACAAATTTCTCTTCTCGTTCTTTCCGAAAACGACACGATATCAATAAATGTTTGCTTTTCATTTTCTTATTCGATATTATCTAGTGGAAATCTTTTTATTATATGTGTATCCAGATATGTTCTGGATGGCTCAGCCTTTCAGCTGAAAAACAAATTTCACTTCTCTATCTTTCCGAACGCGTATTAGACTTTAACAAAATTTAAAAAAAGGGCGGCAGATAACCAATTAAATGAGGATAAGCTGAAAGCTTATTCTTGCAGCTAAAAAACAAATTTCTCTTCTCGTTCTTTTCGAAAACGACACGAAATCAATATATGTTTGCTTTTCATTTTTTTATTCGATATTATCTAGTGAAATTCTTTGTATTATATGTATATCCAGATATGTTCTGGATGGCTCAGCCTTTCAGCTGAAAAACCAATTTCACTTCTCTATCTTTCCGAACGCGTATTAGACTTAAACAAAATTTAAAAAAAGGGCGGCAGATAACCAATTAAATGAGGATAAGCTGAAAGCTTATTCTTGCAGCTAAAAAACAAATTTCTCTTCTCGTTCTTTTCGAAAACGACACGAAATCAATATATGTTTGCTTTTCATTTTCTTATTCGATATTATCTAGTGAAAATCTTTGTATTATATGTGTATCCAGATATGTTCTGGATGGCTCAGCCTTTCAGCTGAAAAACAAATTTCACTTCTCTGTCTTTCCGAACGCGTATTAGACTTTAACAAAATTTAAAAAAGGGCGGAAGATCACCAATTAAATGAGGATAAGCTAAGCTGAAAGCTTAGCCTTGCAGCTCAAAATAACCAATTAAATGAGGATAAGCTGAAAGCTTAGCCTTGCAGCTAAAAAAAAAAAACTTCCCTTCTCGTTCTTTCCGAAAACGACACGATATCAATATATGTTTGATTTTCATTTTCTTATTCGATATTATCTAGTGAAAATCTTTGTATAATATGTATATCCAGATATGTTCTGGATGGCTCAGCCTTTCAGCTGAAAAACAAATTTCACTTCTCTGTCTTTCCGAACGCGTATTAGACTTTAACAAAGTTAAAAAAAAGGGCGGAAGATAACCAATTAAATGAGGATAAGCTGAAAGCTTAGCCTTGCAGCTAAAAAACAAATTTCTCTTCTCGTTCTTTCCGAAAACGACACGATATCAATAAATGTTTGCTTTTCATTTTATTATTCGATATTATCTAGTGAAAATCTTTGTATTATATGTATATCCAGATATGTTCTGGATGGCTCAGCCTTTCAGCTGAAAAACAAATTTCACTTCTCTGTCTTTCCGAACGCGTATTAGACTTTAAAAAAATTAAAAAAAGGGCGGACGATAACCAATTAAATGAGGATAAGCTGAAAGTTTAGCCTTGCAGCTAAAAAACAAATTTCTCTTCTCGTTCTTTCCGAAAACGACACGATATCAATATATGTTTGATTTTCATTTTCTTATTCGATATTATCTAGTGAAAATCTTTGTATAATATGTATATCCAGATATGTTCTGGATGGCTCAGCCTTTCAGCTGAAAAACAAATTTCACTTCTCTGTCTTTCCGAACGCGTATTAGACTTTAACAAAGTTAAAAAAAAGGGCGGAAGATAACCAATTAAATGAGGATAAGCTGAAAGCTTAGCCTTGCAGCTAAAAAACAAATTTCTCTTCTCGTTCTTTCCGAAAACGACACGATATCAATAAATGTTTGCTTTTCATTTTATTATTCGATATTATCTAGTGAAAATCTTTGTATTATATGTATATCCAGATATGTTCTGGATGGCTCAGCCTTTCAGCTGAAAAACAAATTTCACTTCTCTATCTTTCCGAACGCGTATTGGTCTTTAAAAAAATTAAAAAAAGGGCGGACGATAACCAATTAAATGAGGATAAGCTGAAAGTTTAACCTTGCAGCTAAAAAACAAATTTCTCTTCTCGTTCTTTCCGAAAACGACACGATATCAATATCTGTTTGCTTTTCATTTTCTTATTCGATATTATCTAGTGAAAATCTTTGTATTATAAGTATATCCAGATATGTTCTGGATGGCTCAGCCTTTCAGCTGAAAAACAAATTTCACTTCTCTGTCTTTCCGAACGCGTATTAGACTTTAACAAAATTAAAAAAAGGGCGGAAGATCACCAATTAAATGAGGATAAGCTGAAAGCTTAGCCTTGCAGCTAAAAAACAAAACGACACGATATAAATATATGTTTGCTTTTCATTTCTTGATTATATTAGTGAAAATGAGCTTCCTTCTAACACTGCGCTTAAAAAAACCGGAGCAGCCAGTGCAGGCCAGGAATCCGTAGTGCTTCCCCGAGCTGGTGTCGCCGCAGACCACGCAGATGAGGCCCAGGTTCTGGCCTTTGATCCGGGACATCGTTGATTGTTCGGCCGAAGACAATGACTGGTTGGAGGTGGCCGCCGCTGCCGCCGCAGCTGCTGCTGCTACTGCAGCGGCACTGTGATTCCAGAAACAGGAGGAGCTGGAGTGGCTCCAGAGGAGGATGCCGCTGTCGGTGGGGTTGGTTGTCCGTGCATCGGTGCTGGCGGCGGTGTGTAGCAATTGCGCTGTGGACTGTGCAGCTCTGAAAAGGTCGTGTAAAAAAAAATCACTTATGTAGTTTACTTAAATTAAATTTCAATTTTTGATTTTCTAATTAGATATTATCTAATGAAAATCTTTGTATTATATGTATATCCAGGTATGTTCTGTATGGTATCCTCATTTAATTGGTTATCTTCCGCCATTTATTCTGTGGTTTTTTCGTCTCCTCCTCAAAAACATAACCTTCCTCGACCACATGTTTGTCTTTTATGAAAGATGTTCGGTTCGGGTGATTTAATTCCACACGCATTACTCGGCCAGATGGTAAGTTTTAATATATCAAATAAACCGCTTTTAAAGCAAGTTGTGGGATCTGTTACATTTATTCAACTTGCAAATCAGTCGAATTGAGTGCAGTCAAGACGACAATCGAATAATCATTAGCTCGAAGAGTTTCTATCATCCCTGCAGATAAAATTGGGAAGTTGCATTTGTGGTGTACCTCATGGGGGTAAATTTAAATACTCGCCAGCTCAGAAAATATGAAAATAAAAACATCTACGAGACGTGTCATTGCCAGTCCAGTGCAATTCGGGGTGGGGGTGGGGTGGTCTGTGTTTGGTTAGTCTGTTTGAATAATCGTAGAACAAAATCGGACAGAAATCTATCGAAAAACCACAAATAGTCTGGGGAAAATGGGTACTCTAAGAGAGAGAGGAGAGAAGCGCGGGAAAGGTGGGATGGAAGCTATACAAATATGATTACGAGTGGTTCCCGTACGTTCAAGTGAGCGACTCCATTTGTGCAGCTGGCCGGCCACTCTGTTTCTGCTAAACTCATTTTCCATACACGTACACTTTTGTTCGTTCGTACTCGTATAAACAAATGCAATTAAATTTGTAAAATCCAAAAACGAATGCAATGAACAACGAACACAGCCTGCCCAGCCACCTGCCACATGCCAAATGCCACAGATGTGTTGTGTCAGTGTCGGTGTCCTGGCTGCATTTGCTGTTGGCTTTTAGAAATTTATAATTGATTGCATTCACCATAGAAATTGGATTTCCATTTTCATTCCCATCCGCCAGCAGTCATTTAAGGCCTGCAGCGGAATCTCATGCAGATCCGGCAGTTGGATGATACATGGATATACCAGCGTTCATGGGATGTGCGGATCCATGATACATATGTATGTATACATATATGTACCAGTCTCGTAAGTGGATTGATAGGATAAAAGTGTCGCTGAAGCGTAGCTATTCACTGGGAGGATGTGTACATTATTTAGCCCCCAAATAAACGGAAAATTAGTTAATCGAATCATATAAACCATGCCCCTGCACGTACACAGTGTTTGAATTGCAATCTTGAAATTGAATTATTTTAATAAATACTTTAATCAACTTTTAAACGCTTTGCGGACTCAAAAATCCTTTGAATGAAATCCTCTCATATTTGTTCTGCATGTGCGCAGTGGGTATCCACAACTCAATGTGGATACTGCGGGGCTCATTAAATCCAATATTTAAATCACATCATCAGGCACATACCGAAACGCACTCGAAACACCATCACATCGCCTCACTAGAGGTCACACACACACACACACACTGCAGTCACTCAGTGAGCTTCAGATGCATAATGCAATTACATTGAATGGAATTCTGTGAATTCCTTTTGCATTTACGATTTTCGGAGGGGGTATATTCTCGATGACTTTTTCGCACAGTGTGCAGTTTGTTATTTAATGAATAAAAAATTAAAGACAAACAGATACATTGAATATACATCCATAAGGGTATCACAGAGTCAGGCATACCTTACCATACCCTACTCTTAAATGCATTTAAAAAATGTTTTTTTGGAATTATTTCCGTTCTTGTTGCGCTGAAGCTGTAAGCAATTGCCTCGATTCAATCAGGCATCGGACATCGGGACCGTTGGCGAGTTTGAAAATTTATCAAGTGGCATGCATGTATTTTTGTGGCAATTTTACCCCGAATCGAATCGCATACGTATTTGTACGTATTACACGAATTTCCGTTCCGTCACTTTTGGTTAGTGGTGTGGTCGTTGTACATCGAAAAAGTGCAAAATAAATGAGGTGAAAATAACAAAAAACTTGACCCACATTGAAGAAGCAACCGTACGGAGCACATACGCGAATTTATCCGGAATGTTGTGCATCAGAAATGCAGGAAACCTTTGATTTGTTGTTCCCTTTGATGGCGCTTTGGTGTGCTGTACCATACAAAAATAAATGCCATAAATATATTTATTAGGATTTTAAACTTGAATTCACCAAAAAAAGAAAAACCCCCCGTTTAAATTCGTACAGAAATAATATTTTCTTAAACGGCACAGCGTGAGTAAGATTACTTACTTTTATTCTAATTTTAATTTTGAATAATTATTTCTCCCACTAAAATCTCCAGTTAATGTTTATGTTCATTCGTGCTGCTTGTAAGTTGGTCCTTGGTCGAAATAAATCAGGCAAAAATAATACACACTTGACCCGCGTTCCGCATTCAAGAGACCACCACATAATCCCAGTGGCGTAGCTAGGAGGGAAAGGGGCCCGGTGCCAAAAAAAAAATTGGGGCCCCAACTAAAGTCAGATACTTTATCATTAAGAGGGTTACTAATTATGGATTAATAATATTGGTATTAGGTAATGAGGTAAAAATAATTCTTTTATTTATTCTTTATTTTTATTTTATGTGTTCAAAAAACTTAATTTTACATTTAACAAAATTAAAATCTTTTTCTGGCTTTACTTTTCGAAATATTACAATGCTCGACAAAAATTTAACTTTTTTTTAAGCTTCGAACAAAACTTTTATAAAAGTAGAGTCGCGTTCAAAGAAGCGACTCACACTGTTCCTTCTTTTTAAAAAATTTATTTTTTTTCGTGTATATTAATGCACCAATTGGGCGTCGTTTGAAGCATTATTCATTAAATTCAATGAAGAAACGACTGATCTGAAATTGGTGGACAAGCCCTCCGAAAATCATATTTTACGGTTTGGAACGTTACTCCAGCCGTTTCTCCATAGAATTTTATGAAGATAACATTAAACGATGATTAATTCTACAAGTCGAATTTATGCTTGCATTTAAAATAGAAGTGTGGAGTAGGAGATTTTTTGGTGATTTTCTGGTCAGAGTCTGGGCCCCGGTGCGCCGCACCATTTTGCACGTACGTAGCTACGTCACCCCATAATCCACTCCTCAATCGACTTTTACTCCAATTCTTTTGCATGAATCCTTATTTTTTCTTGCTGGTCATTGAGCTAAATCCGCATAATAAACTTTCTGTAATAATTAACAAATACATTATCGAGGCTTAATTTCAACGCACTTGTATGTTTTCCACAAAAAACTATTTGCCAATTATCAAAAACACACCATTAATATGCATATTTTTCTATTAAACATAGTTGTAGGCAAAAATAACGAATTTCATTTGAATTCACAGAGAAAATATCCCTGGGACTTGCTTCGTTGTATAAGACTTTCGTATATGTATAAGAGCTGGTTTCCTTTATAAATCGAACGGGTAATTTTTCACTTAAGAAAAATTCACGCAAGCTTTTAAGGCTGGCTGCAACGCTTGTTAAAAAATAAAGAAAACTTTCTCTTCTGTTTTCACCGAGCGGAAAAATTATCCTTTAAGCAACAACAAAAAACAAACGGTCCAAACAACTGTCAGCGGCAGTGACGTGCAAAGAGAAAATTCCCTCTGTTTTGATTGGCTGTAGAAGACACACACATATGGGGGATATTTTCCACTTATATTGGGGTGTACATTTTTCTCTTTAGGAAATTTCCGCCAGACTATAAAAGCGGGCTGCAACACAAAAACAACGGTACAAAACAACTGGCAGCGACAGCAGCGGCAGCGACGTATGAAGCAGCAGCAGCGCAGCGCACCGGGCAAACGACGTGAACACGTAAAGTGATAACGTAACGGATATTCGGATATTTTAACGCGATCCATTTTGTGTACGTACGTGTCGCCGCGGTGCATCTTCATTGGATTTCATGTGTGTGTGTGTGTTGTGTTGTGTTTTTTTTTGGTGATTTATTTTTTGGTGCCAGATTCCACAGGAAAAGTGATTCATATTTGAATAGCCGTCGACATGGACACCAACCAACCAACCAACCAACCAACCAACCGACCGACCGACCGACCGGCCATAAACTCGAAAGTACATTATAAGCATATCGTGCTCCATACATGTGCTCGCCCAGAAGGACGTGCTTCCCGTACATTGTATCCCAGCCAAATCCCCTTGCTCCGCTCGCAGCCATTCCATTCGCCACTTTTGACTGCGGCTCGTGCCTGTCCATATCCCAGAAACGATTCGTGCTTGCCCATTTAATTGTGCTCCCTGGTGGATAGGGTATACCGTATACCGACTATAAAGCCAGGCAGTGCTGTGGTAAAGCAGTGCTATCCTTGGATGGGGAAGAAGCATTGCTATCCTTGGAATGGGGGGGTCTGGGTCTGGGTCTGGGGCAGAGGCACTGCAAGTCCATGGAAGGGCAAACGAAAGCAGTGTTAACCTTTGGGAACTGGGGAATATCCATGTGGGGCTTACTCCGTTTCGATTCAATTCGATTTCCCTTAATGAAGCCAGTCCACGATATCCCCCCCCATGCAATAGTTAACATATTTTTATGGCCCGTTGTCGCCAAAGTGTCCTAGTCCACACGTTTCCCGTTCCCTGTCCATTCGCACATACAAAGTATGTGAGAGTCCCAGAGTACCCTCTCCAGTTTCAGTTTCAAGGGCCACTGGAGTTGAGGCTCTTCTGGATTGCTCACTTGATGGGACCGGGCACCGGGCAACGGGCTCAAATGTTTGTGTTCTTGTGGACCCAACAAGTGTGGATAGCGAGGGCGGGAAGTGATGGGATGGGATGGGATGGGATGGGTGGGTCGGTTATTGTTAGGGTCAAGAGCGCAGAGAGGACTTATTTAGTTACAGTAGGATTGTCCGGGTCCGAAAATGATTTTTGGGATTCGCTTACATAATCCAACAGAAACAGAAACAGGGATTTTTAAATGTATGGATTTTGCGCAGGCAGAACATTAAATATTTAATTATTTGAAAGCGTTTAATTAATCCGCAGAGAGAACCACAAAATGGTGGCGGGGGCATTAAAGCGATAAGCAGCTTGCCAGCTTGTTGGCCCTGAAAAAGAAAACTTTAATAATCCGGATACTACTTGGTACAAGTACTTTGCAGGTATTTTATCCAAATACAATGGGAAAAATTGAGCCAGCATAACTGGCACTTTCATTGGAGAAGTGGCCAAGCACAGGAAATGCCTCAACCCTTAGGTAATCTTTAAAGTCAACCAATGTCAGCCACTTGTGTGAGCTCGTACCATATGCAAAAAAAAACTCTAAGCATCTGCGGCTTAGCATAAATCAGTTACCAGTTTAAGGGGGGAAAAAAACAACGCCATAAATCTGTAATCTGGCGTGGGTCCCTTATGAAATCAGCAAAAGTCATAGATATGGCAACGCTTTACGACCCTGAACATTTAGTATGATTTTATTGGGTACTAAAATAAAACAATAAAAAATTATCTAAAAATATTTGGCAGCCAGTTTTGGGCTATGGCATAGATTTGAAGCGCCTTAATAGTCTTTTTACTAAAACCTTTTTAGAATAAAGAAGATCAAAGAATTTAGGCAGAGACTCGGAATACTTAGTTGCAAATATTTTTAGGGTATTTTCTTAGCCCACAATCAAACAAACAAAAATGTACTCGCATTTATATAATTTTGATTATAATAAATGTATTAAAATAACATTTTTATTTGGGTATATTACACATAAAATATATATTAGCTATTATTTTGTTGAGTGTAGGTTTAACGCCTTGTCACGGCGCGCGGTGGAACTATTTGAACGAGTATGCGAAGGTATTTCCAGTGAAGAAACCGCACAGTTATTTAACATGCAACGTCGGAACATAAACTGGTAAAACTTTGCAAAATGCTTGGCACTCCGATTGACAAGAGTATGCGTATAGGGGCACTGGGCTAGGTTTTTTTTTTTGGGGGCGGGATATTTTATGGAGAGAATTCTGTTTCCCGGATAGAACCACAAAAACGTACGCTTCAATCCAGCCAGCAGCGACTGGTACGGTCTCTGGCCTTGATCAACACGCTTAACCACTTTCGAGTGCTCGGATTACGGCATAGTGTAGCCACATGAGCTGGAACAGTAGCCGTAGCTGCAGCCGGAACCCGGACAGCCGGGCTACAGCCACAGCCCCGCCACCGGCACCGGCACCGGCGTCCAGATGGAAGCACTTAGGCAAACGCGGATGCTTCATTAGGGTCACACGCTTGCAATCAATCGTGGTGGTAGTGGTGATGGTAGTGGTGGTTGGTTGGTTGGTTGGTTGGTTGGCTGCTGGCTTGGTGTTGGGGGCAAACTTTTGCCACAAATTTCCATTTTTCCCTCTCACACACAGCACACACAGAGACATGCACGCATGCAGCTGTGAAAAGTGATTCATTAAAGCAATTAGCAGAGAAAAGTACACACACACAGTCCTGGCATTCACCCACACTTCTCTTGCAGACAGGCCAGCCAGGGGGCGTGGGGCAGCCGGAGGTAGAGCCAGTACCACCCACAAATCCTCATTGAAATTTACGATTATGCTGCAAAATTATTAAACAATATGACCGCAACAGCCGCAGAAACTACGGAAATAACTGCAGACAGCAGGGAAGACGAAGACGAAGCCGCAGCCGCAGCCGGAGCCGGAACCGGAGCCCCCGACATCATTAATAACCAATCCGTGGGGAATGATGCGGACAGGAGAGTGAAGCAGTCAAAGCCAAAGCCAGATTCGGAGTCGGAGTCAGAGTCAGAATCAGAATCAGAGAGCTTGAATCCCTCGCGTGCCGCAAATCTAACGACCAAATTACTGCAGGCCACCACCGGCAATATGAGGAACCTGCTCAACCGAACTCTGGCCACCATGGCCCGTGCCAATCCCGCCCAGCACGGCGTACCCCTGCCCCTGCCCCTGCCCACCCTCCTGTTGCAGGCGGCCCAGGGCCAGCGCATCGATCAGCCGCCGCACCAGCTCCAGCAACCCACCGAGACGCAGTCGGGCATCGAGCACCAGTCCCAACAGTCGCTGGCGGCCAACGGCACATCCAATCCCATGGCGGGCGGCGAGCTGGCGGACATCTACAGTGCATTTAGCGCCCTACCCGGCGGCAATCTAAGCGGTTTCATTGAGTCCTCCACCACGGCGGCCAGCTCCGTGCTGAGCAGCACCCTGCCCCTGCCCGGCACCAGCAGCATGGCGGCCACCTTCCAGGCCCAGACAGTGGCCACCTTCATAGCGGCCGGCAACAAGAATCGACCAACGACCATCGTTGTATATCCAACGGGTAAGTGTTGCAGGTGCAGGTGCAGGTGCAGGTTCAGACTCAGATCTCTGCTCAGGCAGGCATAAAAAAGGAAAAGTTTTCATAGCGATAAGTTAAGGCGCGGATCCGCCCAGCATACTGGCATCGGGAGAGTCAGAGAGTGATTCTAGCTTAAGGAAAACCTGCGGATATATTAATTCTCTGCCAGTTATTATGTACATTAAGTTTACCACATTAAATTCTAATGTCCGTTGCCGTTTTAAGCTCCTTAAAGTTTCTTCTTCTGAGTTTCTTTTTACACATGTACTCGTATTTATATATGAACATTTCTCACTGGCATCACACTGAAATAGAACCAGCGGAAAGACTACATTCCAGACATGAAAGACTCACATTTCGACTGCCATTCCACTCCTGTGTAAAGGCAAGCTCCCAGTCAATAATTAATCATTTAATCAGCCTTTAAAAGTCCCTAATGTACCCAGGAGCTGACACAGGAGCTCTAAAGAGCGGCAGCATCATGATCGGAATTTAATTGTGGAGTTGGAATGAAAGTCCAATGACGTCTATTGTGTCTTAACATATGATCCGTTATCATCTCATAGCATATGCTGCATGGAAAATACAGTTTTATATATTGCCGGGCCTTCAGGCAATGTAGCATCCAACTTTGTTCTCTCTTTTTTTATTCATAAAGCTCAGATATCTGAAGTGAATGGCAATTTTATAGCGTTTTCTTTTCTTCTTACAAATTCTATAAATTTCTATAAATGGAAACATATTGTAATTGTGGAAAATTGTAATCAAATAAGTGGATAATTTTTGTAACGAAGTTGTCACAATGTTGTTTATTTTTTGTGTCATTTGCCATTCAGTTTAAGGGATAAGATAAACCCAAACCCTAAGTCAGGACTCCCCATAGGCCGCCTCACAGCATTAACTTAATTAGGAAGATTTGCAGGATGAATGGGAAAGTCAGACTCCACTCTGCTCTCTGGCAGCCTGTCAATAATCAAATCAGTGCAGTCAGTCATCCAACGAGGTCGTCGCGTGCCAGTCGACTCAGAGTGCCAAGACCCAGAACCCAGAACCCATGACCCCCCATTCCCAGACCAAAGACTCATTCCAATTTGTTTCATCATTGCTGGCGTTAATTTGCATGAGATGACACCCGAGGCCTCATTATTCGCATCTTGCTACAGCTCCTGATTCTGCTCCAGCTACAGCTCCTGCTCCAGCTCTAGCTACAGCTCCTGCTCCCACTCCGCCTATGGATCTGACTGACGCGTCTCCTTTTTTTTTTTTAGTAGTTTCGATGGCAGTTGCAAACTTTGACTGGCTTTCAGCAAGCTCAGAGCCAATCGAAAAGTTTTTCGGCTCCGCGCCCTGCTGCCAGCAAGCAGTAGAGCCCGCCCCTCCTTCAGCAATTAGACAAGGCTAAGTCGCAGTAATTGCAAAGAGTTTCACTCAACTGTAGCTGTTGATTGTTTAAGGCAACTGCGTCCTGTTTTTTACCCGTACCAAAAAAGTAAGGGTATATTTAGGGGTGCAACGAGGACGTTTCCGCCCCTAAAGTATATTCTCCCCCGCCCGTCCGTCTGTCCTCCGTCTGTCCGCCGTCCGCCGCCTGAGCGCCTGCTTGGTTAACCGGAGCAACCATTTGGTTTCCACCATGGCCCTCAAGTGTTCGCCCCCTCCCCCCCACAAATTCTGCGGCGGCACAATTTGTAGAACCAACTACCACTACTTTATAGCCAGAAAAATTCTGCTCCCCCCCCCCACACCATGCAACTCCTCCCCCCCCCCAGCGGGTAGAAATGGTACATTATAAGTAGAAATACTTGTGATAACATGTACAAAAAAATTTAAAATGAATTTTTTTTATAAAAATAAAAACATAAGCTAAAAAATATGCTGACTGAGTACGGGTATAAGAGGGGGGCGGCCTAAAGCGACTCACACGTTCCTCTGGCTTGGGAATGAGATTGAAAAAGAGAGTACGTACGGCTGGGGGATGGCTATATAGCTACAGTGAGCAAAAACAAAACAAAATATCAGGTATCTGTATCAGAGGTCCAAAAAAACTTAGATGAAAGATCAAATGTGAATTCCAACAAAGAGAATGAGAGATTTAAATTTATTTAAGAGCTTCATCTTGGTATACATACATATATCCCTTATTTAAAATTACTCCTGCTCGCTTTGCTGTACTGCTTTCAGCAGTTCTTTTTGTCGAGTGTAAGGTCGCATGAACCTACAGCTGGCGCCCAAATCACTGCGCCCGGAGCGGCTCACAAATTAGAGGCGTAAAGGTCGCTGAGCTCAGTGGGGCGGGTGGCGGGTGGCTGGTGGCGGCACTGTCGTCTTTATTAAGAGTACTGCCTCCCCGTAACCCGGAACCCGGAACCCGTACCCATTGCTGTCACCCAAAAGCCCAAAATACAGTACTCACCCTGACAAGCGACGGCCTACAAGTTGACGACGACATTGTCGTGTCGTCTCCTCTTCAGTCTTATCCGACTCATTCTCAATCCCATTTCCATTTCCATTCAGAGTCCCCCTCCCCTACCCTCCCCTCCCACAGACGTACTGTATATGTATGTATGTATCTGCAGCATCGACAGGGAAGAGCGACCACGTCAGTGTCAGCGCTCGAACGCGCCCCGGCTGAATGGCCTGTGGGTGTAGCCAGTCGGCTTGGCGGAGTGTCATGGAGGCCATGTCATGCCCGACACAAGAAAGAACTTTTCGCCGATGCTGCCAAAAATACAAAAAAAAAAAATAAATATAAATAAAAGTAAAAGAAAAAGAAAAAAAAAAGGAGCTGCCGAACACAACAAACAAAAATAAAAGGAAAAAAACTCGCCCATTACGATTCGCGCGTAAATTCATCCGATAAAATGGTGTAACAGGAATGCGATGAATGCGACGTCCTTCGGCTCCATTGATAAGTTAACAATGCATTGTACTTAGCGGGGAATACTCTTAGATTCCGGAGAGCCATCCGTACCATTGAGAGGCAGCCAAGCAGCACCTTAAATGGAAATTTAACCATAACTAAGTTAACGTTTTAGATGCTTTTGCAAAGGCAAACAATGGAGCTGCTACCACGCCCAGCTAACATATTGAGAGAACGGTTTGACATGCCAGGAAAACATATTTAGATGCCAATCTGCACATTGAATTAGTTTGAAACGATCTGAACAATCTGCCAATCAAAAGTGTACAGCACGAATCGATTGTTGCATTTATTACAATATCAGCCACTTCTTAGGCTGTCAATCTAGTGGGAAGACACAGCGGAAGGAGGACAGTCCCTTGAGTCCCTTGAGCAAATAAACTTGAGAACTTTTTTTTATAGTTTGTTTGAACACAGAAATTTCCAGGAATTTGTAAGTATATTTTGTATAAGTTTAGGTTCAGTCAATGCTTATTCCTTTGCACGTATTTAACGGGTAGAATAGGTTTACAGGAGGGGGCCTTTACCTCATAATTGTATTGAATATTGATACCCGGAACGTCTTCGATTGGAGTGTTTTGTATCCTTGGGCAAGCAACTGCTAGGGCATAGGCTTGGGGTATTTATATTTAGAGCAGGCAGAGGTTCAGCCTCGAACTTACCATTAAAATGTTTGCTGCCATTTACGTTTACGTTAGTATTATGTGACCAATATTGGGTATTGGATGGACTGCTGGATGCATAGCGAATTTTAGTTAAATCTTAAAACAGGGCAGGGGTCGTCAACAGAACGTATACGTAACCGCTTGCACAGATCAAATGGCAAACTTTCGGGCAACTATTCTCCCATGTCTCGACCAGAAACGAACACAGAGTGCTGCTTGCTGCTCTCCCTTGCAAGTTCTCCTTTCTGCTGCTACTTTAAGCATCAAAGTTGGGACTTGAAAGTTGGTTCCGGTTGGAACCCGACCCGACCGCAATCATCTTTGGTTGACTTTGATGCGCATATTCTAAGCCACAAGCAGAGAAGTCACTTTGATACGCATACCAATACGAATATATACTTATGTGAATGTGAATGTACTCGTACTCGTACAAAAATACAACTATAGAGTATGTGTGTGTATCTGAAAATATATTTTGCCTATCCTCTGCGCTGAGGGATTTCTTCTTTTCGTTTTTTTTTTGTTCTTTTTCGTTGCGATGCCTTTGCCTTTGTAGCGCATTCCACTGTCGACGTCGAATATGCAAACATTCAATTCCCCCCCCCCCCCCCCATTGAAAGCCATGGAGCCATGAATGGGTCGGAAAATACGATGGGGAGGTGGTGTGGGGCGAAGGAAAAAGACTAGAGACCAGCGAGTGGAAGAGTGGAAGATTGGGAATCTGTCTGAGTGGGGCAACAAAAAAAAAAAAAAGAAGCATTATTTTTATTGTATTTATTGAATTTTTCAAGCATCAAACGATGCCTGATGACTCAGCAACATCGTACAGCTGCCGCTGCCGCTGCTGCTGCTGCTCCTTCGCGATTACAAACGGCAAACTAATGCCCATTGGAGACCCATTGGAGGCACTTTAGACATCACTCCCCCTGGTCCCATTCGCCATCAATTTGTGTAAATTTGAACTGTCACTTTGAAGGCGTTAATTGGATTCAGTGGCGCACTCCCACAGCAGGCGTCCTAGCCACCAGCTACCAGCCAGCAGCTAGCAGCTTCAGGAGTGACTACAAAAAAAAGAAGCGCTGGATAAATGTAAATATTTGGTGGCTACGCCCCTGATCGAACTCGAACGTAATCGAATAATGTCAGTCGAGAAGAGTCAGGCCAGGGGACGCGCCATTAAGAGCACTCAAAGAGAGTCAGGCCAAGGATAACCCTTGACGCACAAAGATCTCTTAGTCTCTCATGGCTTGCCCTACAGAATCGAATATATAATGGATTCTTGATCATCGGAATATGCTCCCTAACCTAATGAAACCTTCAAAGTCTCTGCGCGGAGACACTTTAGCTATTGAGGATGGGTTTGGTATTGGTTCCAGTCAGCACAAAACTATCGTCAAGTCTTAGTTTCCTGGCAGCTATGGGAGTTCTATGTATAAGAATGAAATCCTTTTGTCTAAAGCTGCGAAGGTTTTCCATTTGTCTGTGCATAAAATTTAAATGTAAAATGATTATCCATCAAAGGCAGGAATATATCGCCAATGAGTCCGCTTTTGGGGCTTCCGCCCACAGTACTCAGCGGTCGACTACCAAATTGGTTTCGTTTTCATTTTGGTTTTGTGCGACAAACAAAATTTGGGCCATGGATTTTGTGGCTTAGATTAGAGCAACCGTTGGCTGTGGCGCCCACTCTTGGTTGGCTGCTGCTCGCTGACAGTGTGTGTGGGGGGGGGGGGAAATGACTTATGAGTGAAAGCACTCGGAGGCTGGTAAATTAGGTCGCCAAGTGGCGGGGGGGCGGCGTACCCCCGCGCACTTGAGTCTTGTCGCAGCAGCCGCACAGGTTGAATATTCCAGCAGGAAGTTCACATTCAAAACGAGTAAAAGGATGCCACAAATGGGCAAAGGGAAGATTCAGTTTTGGTCTTAAATGGCTGCGACTCACAGCAACAATTGTCCGACCAAGTTCCCGTCTAGAATAGTCGCGATTTAAGTTAATAGATTCGCTGAAACATCCAAAATGTTGTCAAAAATGTTTGAATAAAATTACTTTTCCCGGACCCAATGCCAGGGGCAGTGGCAGTGCAGTGGCTTTCTGTGTAGTTGCGCGCTTTCCAGGCCGGAATGAGCCGGAGATGAGCTACGGAATCATGAGTTTCCCCCCCCCCAACCACACCCCAAATGCTCGTACAGCAGTGATCGTACCCCCGGTTATTGCGATAAAATAAACATATAAATAAATAATCTTGGCACAGGCGGTGGCATTTGTGCGGCTGACCACAACAATTAGGCAAATACGGCCCCATTTCGCTTGCCCTCTGCTCTGAGGTTTGAGGTCTGAGTTCTGGCTGGGTCTGGGTGGGTCTGGGTGGGTCTGGGTGGGTCTGGGTTATTCTGGTGTGTCGACAATACCAAAGTCAGGCCGATTAACATTTATGCAACATTTGGCAAGGCCATTCCAGGGCGGGGTGAGCGGTGTGTGTGTGGGGGGAACAGCCTTATGGGGTGAGATTCTGTTGGGAAAGGTCATCTCAAGTTGCTTTGAATTAGGGGTGGGGAGGGGGCACTCTGGTGGCACTGGTGGCTCTGGTAAAGGTAGCGAAAGTGTGGGGCCCCCTTTTGATAGATTGAATAGATAAACTTAATGAGGGAACTGTGGGGTTAGGCAAGGTTGTAGCAGATTATGTTAGATATGGCTGGCTGCGATTAGTAGAACTGGGTAACACTTCCACTTCTGTGAATATTAAGTGGCGCCCAGTGAGCGCCACCGTTGGGCAGAGGCTCCATAAATAACGATTTCTATTTGTAGCTTAAGTCAGAAAAGGTTCTCCCAAGGTAAGGCTGCATTAAGTCAGATTTGCTAAGATTCGCTAAGATTAATTGAGAATAAATAACAGGCATAACAGCAGGCATGATTTATTACGAAAGTATAGGGCTGGCAAACAGCTGATTACAGTGCAAAAAACTACCCAAAAATAGGTTACATACTGGCTGTATTTGTGCCAGGATTTTTTAAGATTTTTGGAATTTATTTCTGATTTATATTAATGTAATTTTAAATAAATTTAAAAAAATTCCCAAAATTAATTTAGCTATGTAAAATTAATAATGGGGACAAATAATTAGCTGAGGGTACCAGTTCAGTTGGCTTATTAGCTGCAAGATCCTACAACAATTTACACAGCTGGAAGCCAAGAAAACAAAAACCAAATAATTGAATCTTCCCTCATGGGTATCTGTCCAAGTGGATTAGCTGACCAGACGGCGGCTTCGTTTTTGTAAAGTCAATGCATTGGGCAAACCAAATAACAATCCCGTACAGAGTCAGGGAAGAGGTAGAAAGCATGTGTGAAACGCAAATAAATGAAACTTTCCCACCCATAAAGTATATGTCAGCCAAGTGGATATAGCCATGTTTGTCGCCGTCTGTCGATTGTCTTTTTCATACGATTTTCATGATTGAAGCAAGCATTGTGCAAACAAATAATTTTAGTTCAACTTTTGTGGGCTATGTACATGTTATGTTTGTTCTCTTGCAGCTTACTGATCTCGTGCCAACATTTTGTTTTGTTTCGTTTCAGTTTCACCCGAATCGATCGTCATACCGATCGTCTCGTGCATCTTCGGCTTCCCCATACTGGCCCTGATCGTCATTTGTTGCCTGCGTCGACGGGCAAAGTTGGCCCGGGAGCGGGACAGGCGGCGCAACTACGACATGCAGGACCATGCCGTCAGCCTGGTCAGATTTAGTCCAATTCATAGGCTTAGTGAGTGTTGTTGAGTGTTGTTTAATGTCGAGAATGTCGAACGTTTTTCACTTCGTTTGTTTTTTCGCCCCTTTTTTTTGTCTTCTATATTTTCCACATTTTTCTCCTTCCGTTTCCTGTTTGGCGGCAGGCAATGGGCGCAGATCAAAAGACTCGTAGAATGCATCCCCATCTACGCCCCCCTCCCCCACCACCCATTCATTCGCACTTTGCACCACTTTTGCACACTCTGTCTCGCTTTCTCTCCCTCTCTCTCTCTCTTCTTCTCGTTCGGTGTTTTTATCTTTTTTTTCTGCTGATTTATCCTTTCCTTCTCTTGATGTATGCCATGCCGTAGTGATTATAGTACTCTGCCCCCCCCCCCCCCTGGTGGCCATGTTGTCATCCATCCTGGCCATATCTCGGCCTTTGTTTTATACCCCAAAATGGGATTTTAAATTGACAAAGAGATAACAAAAGCACCTGACGCATCAGCATCAACATTACCATCATCATCAACATCGTCATCGTCATCGTTGTTGTTCTTTCCGGTGGAGAGCAGCCGCTTCGCCCGCATAACCAAAAAAACGAGAAAAAAAAAACATTTTTACCGCCAACCAGCACTGTGCAACACAATTCCTATCTCTGCAGCACTCTTTAACTTACCTGGGGGCACAATTTAAGGCGCATCCATGGCCTTTTCTCTAATTTCTCATATCTCATGACAAATTTAAGACAGGAAGCACGGAAGGGATATTTATATATTTTATTCAGGCACTAAATAAAAATATCTGAAACTAAACAAGATTATTGCCATAAGACTTTAGTCTTATATGAGAGTCAGAGTCCCTGCGACTGTGTTGCCTGGTGTTGAGTCAGTCCGGAGATAGCAGCAGATACCTTTCCTTTTGTGCGCCGTTGTCGTCTGCAAATGAACCTCTTCGCAGCGCACTCAGAAATCGAATTGCCATTCTCAATGGATATGTTGCACGGCCCAGTGGGTTATCAATTACCAATGCCTGCCAATGCCTGACAAGAGCTGCCTGCCAAGAGCTGCCAGCTTAAGCTTCAAGCTTCAAGCTTGACTTTAGCAGGCAGAGAAAGAAGGAGCCAATGTACGGTGGCCAGCAGGCAGTCCGTCCGTGTCCCGCAGGCAGTCGGTCGCTGCCACAGCCACAGCCACAGACACATTCGCCTACATTTGCAGGCAGTACTGGTCGTAGGCGGAGGGCAAAGAAAGCTGAAAGAAAACTGTGGCAGGGTGGCGACAGTTGCCAGCCACTCAATAAAACATGCTCCACGCCAACAGTCAGATATGTGGGTGTGCGTGTGTGTGTGTGTGTGTTAGCTGCTTTACATGTGTCAGGCACAGAGCGGCAGCTGCCTGCATTTGCATTGCATACCTTTGGGCGCTCGCCTGCCCTCGTTTGCATATATAACAAAAAACAAATGAAAGGCAGGCGGCCAGCACACAGCAAACAGAAAACAAAAACAACAACAACAACAAAAGCAAGCAAGCAAGAGAGAGAGAGCCCCATAATTGACTATACTCGTACGTTACCCTGTATTCAGAAGCGTTTAAATCCATAATAGTAGACGGGAAAAAAACGTATAAACAATTACGCCCCATGAAAAGATAGAAAAAAAACAAAGGGGATAGTAAAGGTAGATATAACAGCTACTAAAACTACCATATAAATGTGCAATGAATAAGCTAACACAATGGGAGAGCAAATGCAAGAAATTCACTTGCATACTGGCACTGGAAAATGCTGATATAATACTAATAAATATAGCACTGCTAGTAGCCAGCATGATAACCGAATGCAGACTGTGCCGAGCAAAGTTAGTGGCTTTAGGAATCTTACGATCGGCAGTTGAACCTTTGGACATGTCTTAAATGGTTAATTAGAAGTGTATAAAACAGGAGTCTTGCTCTAAGCCAGCACTCACGTAGCTTGTGTTATGGTGTGGCTTCCTTTAGCCAGTTCTGTGTGCATATTCCTACAGATATAACGACCGTCTTATCCTTATCCTAAACGAGTACCGGGTATTAAAAAAAAGAGATATATATACATATATAAAAAAAAAAAAAAGAAATGTGAATAGGGGAGCTGCCCTTGCCTCTCTCTCTCTCTCTTGCCTTTTTAGCATAGCAACACGCCCTGATGACAGCCGGCCGGGAGCCGGGCCGTCGCCCATTTCGCCACCTGCCACATATTCACATGCCCCCTGTGTAACCCGCTCTGTCCCTCTCTCTCCACTGTCTGGCGACGGGGTATGAGGATTTCATTGCTTTATGCACGCACGCACACGCAGCAACATTTTTTATAACTGTAAATTTCATATTCAGTGCGCAAGAGGAACGGAGAGCGGGGAGGCGGGGGCGGGGGCGGGGGCAGGGGCAAAGGAAGAGAGAGTGGAAATGCCACTTCAGGTCTCATAGAGAAGCGGAGCCCTGCCTCATGACCATGATGATGATGATGATGATGATAATGATGCGGGTGATGTGGGTGACAGCCACAAACTACACTTGTTTTCGGTTGTTTTGCTCCTTGGCCCCAAAACAACACACAAAATATTCCATGGCTAACACACACACATACATTTCGTACCTATACACACACTCGTACATCTTGTTTGCATACATTTTCGCAAAACAATTACGAAGCACCGCAAAAGCCAACCCCAAAATTCTGTGCTCCCCCTCTTCACACTCTCCCACACACACACACACACACACAACACACACACAATTTTGCACCCAAAAACTCCTGAACCAAACTGAATCCTGTGTTTTGCATTAAGCGACCAAGCATCCAAACTGTGTGGTCGAAGCAACTGAATCGGAAATATCTCTTACCTTTCGGGCCATCGGAATGGACCACACCGACACAACCACCGGGCCCGCCAAAGCACTCTTTCCTTTCTGAGTAGGAAAAAAAAAACAAACAATTAAATTTAAAATTCTATTCACTTTGAGCTTTGATTCATTAATTTTTCAAGCTATACTTTGGCCAAACAAATTCGAACAATAAAAGGTAAAATAATATTAGATTTTTTTCAAAGTAAGGAAAGATATACCAAAGAATATAAAGCTACATATGTACATTAAAATATGCAGCTAAAACTGAACAAGAAAAGGGAAGGGATATACTCTCCCAACAATAATAAAATACGAGTATTTATGCGTTTTTAACTAGCTGGCATTCTTAAACTTAATCAAAGATAATCGAGACTATTTATGTAGGAATTAAACCTCTATTTGGGTAAACAAAAAATGGTAAAATTAGGGCTATAGATATGGCCCATTCCAGAACAAAATCATTACTCATTCAAGTTGGAAAAACACAGACAAATGATTATAATTATTATTATTATAATTATTGCAAGCACAGTCTGAAAATACAACTATGGGGGAGCTCCATAAGGCTCTTGCTTCCGAGCATACATTTGGAGGACTCCCTTGGCGGCTGATGTATCCAGTGTAAAATCCATAAACATGCCCATTTCAACAGCGAATAAATCAAATTAGAGTCCAATAAATCAACTCTCGTACCCCACGGTGCGCCCTGCGCACACACCCATCGCGTGGCAGCTGCACATCTTTCACTTCTTGACACCAAACGACACCACACCACACACCACACAGCACCCGAGTCGGAGTCGAGTCCTGGCGCCCAGCCATCTACCTGCTGCCACCTGCCCGTCGCACAATTTCAATTTGTCGCCATCAATCTTTCTCACACCTGCCCCACACTCACGAGCATTGCCCATAAACAAAAACAAAAACATATCTCAATCCCTGAATTACTGATGACTCGAACCGACTTGATCTCGTCCTCAGATTACCGATCGTCGCGAGCTATCAGTCTACGTCCTGAACGAAGCCTAAGCCAGGGCTTCACCTCGCTGGAGCTGGACACCGTGCTGGAGGAGCGCTGCAGCGACGTTGAACAGACGCAGACCGAAATCCTAAATCCCGAGTCACCCATGGACACCACCTCCTACAAGATGTCCTTTTCCTCAAGCTAACAGTTAGCCACGAAGCAGCAGCAGCAGCAGCAGGAGCAGCCGCCCACTGCTACGCCCCCAACAACGCTCGCACATCTACAGGCCCAGGCCCAGACCCAGGCCCTGGCCCAGTCCCAGTCCCATCCTCAGGCGCAGACCCAGTCCCAGGTCAAGGATCTACCCGCTACGACATCGTCACAGCTGTTGCTGCCACCGCAGCTGCGAAAGACGGCCAGTGTGAGGGAGTCGCACGATCCAACGGCCCTGGCCAAACGGCGGAGTCGCCTCCAGGAGCTGCGGGCCGGAAGCACCAGCAGCGGCGGCGGTGGGGACGAGCCATCCGTAGCCTTTAGCAAACGCGACTCCAAGCGGAATCGTCGTCGCGGCGGCACCACCGCCAGCGGCAGCAGCAGCAGCAGTGGCGGCTCTCCACGTCGCTCCGAGGCGGCCATGCGGAAGTCGCAGTCGCTGGACGCCGCCGAAAGTTACTCGCTGACCAGCATCCAGTCCCCGCTGTGGGTGACCCTCACCAATGCCCGCACCATCGAGGAGCTGGCCCAACAGAAGCTTTAAACGGACCCCTGCCCAGTCCCAGCCCCAGCCCACCAAAGAGCCTTCCCCAGACACAGACCCAGACCCAAGCCTACGGCCACAATACCATTTCCCATTAGCCACATGCCCATCCATCCACCCACATAGACCTCTTGTAAATGTTTAGAGAGCAATTCAAAGTACGTGTAGTAGAGACATTAATTAAAAACAAATATTTGAATCATTAGCTGCAAAAACATAAAACTTAATGAAATTAAAGACCAACAACCACACTTAGTCCAAGGAATAGAATTGAATTTGGAAAATAGATAATTGAATGTCAAGCAAAATGTATACAAAAGTGTTTTCAATGGGGGGGTGGCAGTGAAGACCTGGTCTTGGCCCTTTGAGCCAGAAACCACAGATAAACCTGTAATGTGATCAAAGACCAACAAGGCAACCAAAATGTATTTGCCAAATTAATAGTTGAACTTGCAGGCAAGTTGAACGATACCTGTGGGTGGCTGGCTGCTGTGAATTGGAGCCCGGAACAAAAGCAGAAACGACAGCACTCACTTAATGAGATTAAAGAACAGCAGCAGAACATACTTTTTGAACTCTTGAGAGCCTTGTAGAGCCTGGGCCCTTGGCTGTATTTAAAGGTAAGCTTATTTGATAATGAATTTAATCAACTGAATATTGTATGCTCACAGTAAGTGTGGTCTAAGTATGAATAGATAATTATTATAAACAATATGCATGCTCATATTCGAGCAACTAATTGCATGGCTAAGTTTGAAATAATTATGCTAAAAGCTTGACTCTTTCAAGCACTCAAATTGTAGTGCAGCAAGCCATAATTGATTGCTCTGTAGTCCTGGCACAAAGTCCAGCAAAATGGAATATTGCGTGCAATTAAAAAAATATATAATTGCACGAATAATTTAATATTTGTGAATGAATTTATATTTTTGTTCACTTCACTGTATATTTTATAGATATACTTAACCACCTGTTAGCAGCCAATGCCGGGGCCATGAATCAATCTTCATTCTTCTATTGCTATTGCTATTCCTTGTTGCACAATTAACTTCGTTTAACACGTACTCGCATGTGTTTTTTAATTTTTGTGTGTTTTTCTTTTATTTAAATTATCATGTATACATAATAAGAGCTTAAAATACAAATTTAATTTCTTTATCAAAATAAATTGTTATACAATTTCCTTAGTTGTTGTCGCTTGTATGCTTGGGGGATCTCAATTTGGATTCATTTTTTTTGACTTTGTTAATTTATTTCTCCTTTCATTTGATTTGGATTTGGATTTGATATTTATAGTATTCCGAGTGGGTTTCGCTTAGTCATCAATGTTTATGGATTTAGTTTTAGCTTTGCACACCGCATTTTTGTTTAGTTATAGTTTTAAGCTTATGTTTTTTTCTTTTCTCTTTTTTTCTATTTATATACCTTTAGATTTGTTTGTTTGTTTGTTGGTTGCTTTTTGTTTTATTTGTAATATTAATTAATAGAAAAAAATACTAACAAAAAGAAGAGGTCGTCTTGGATATATCCTTGGATATCAATATTGTTGAATATAAATACAATATGCAGTTGTATGTATGTATCTATACGATTGCGGCATACAAATCGCGTATAATACAATATAGTATAGACAATACCAAAAAATATACAAAAAAAAAAAATTAAATTGGCATCGAGTGGTTTTCGTTCACAATAATACATTCATCATCCGGCGCGATTCATTTGATACCTAACGCCAAGCCACTACTAAAACACACACTTTTGAAACATGTCTATTTTTAAAAGAAGAACTAACGAAATCCGATTACACGAAATCATGGAGGAACGGCTGCTGTGGAGGAGGACACTGCGGCACAAACAAATATACAATATATATATATATATAAAAACTCTGCCCTCGATCTCTGATATCACTCCATCGATCGCTTGGTTTCCTTTGTTTAGGGTTTAAAAGAAGCATTAAATAAAACATATAATAAAAGACCTAAAAAAATTGAACTAGGAAAACAATTGAAAGCACTTTGCCCTGTGTGGTTGTGTGTGTGTGTGTGTGTGTGTGTGTGTGAGTGTCTGTGTGTGTGTGTGTTTTGTTGTTGTTGGAGTTCGTACGAGTATGTGCTGGGATCTGGGGAAGGTCTTGGGTCTTGTCTTTTGGGTATAGTTAAGGTGGGTTACGGGTTACATGGGGCTAAAAACAGAACCAATTATAAAAAAAAACACTAAAGGATCACTTCATGCTGTTGCCAGTCGTCTTTTTGAGCAATTCGATTGGAGGTGGGTGATTTGGGGTTTTTGCATTTTGTATCCGTTTCTGTGTGTTGCTTTTGACTTGCCTTACATTTTTGTTTTTTGTTTTTCTTTTCTTTCGAAAAATCTCTTAAAATCAGTTCTAATTATTCTGTTTGTCTTTTCCTGTGAGATATAAAATTATCCATGCCCAAATTGTTTTTTGTTTGATTATTTGATGTTTGGGGGGGAGGGAGGGGGGGGTGGTGTTTCGGTTTGTGGATTTCAGTTTCTGGTTTTCAATCAAAAATTTTCTGTCGTTTTTGCTGCAACTCTCTTTTTCTCTCTCATGCGATCTCATCTCTTTCTCTCTCTGTGTCGCTGCTGTGTCATCCCTCTGGGTATCTCTGGAACATGTTTCTCTTTCTACCTCTCTTTACATGTGTATCGTGGCTGCAGTGTAGCGCGCCTCACCGCGCCTCCAAGACCACTGGCTGGGACGGAACTAATTGATTAAAAAATAGAGATTTAACATTAGGCACAATTACTCATATAAATATATGCTTAGATATTTTGGGGAGTATTATTTCTACTAGAGTTTTGATAACCAACCTGATGCAAATGCTTGGACTGCATGTAATTGTAAGAAATTGCATAAAGCCATGGGTTTTGATATATCTTATTGTTTTAGGTGATTCATTGCGACCAACCACTCACCTGAATTAAAAGCTGACCGCTCTTTGTGTGCGGATTGCGGTACGCATAGAAGAGCCACAACGTCACGGCGAACACCATGCAAATGGGCACCATGAAACCAAATGCCATGCCCACGCTCTTGTTCTCGGCCTGCGCCTGAGACAGCTCGTCGGCATTCATGAGCTTCCTTTCCGCCGTGCTGCTTGAATCGGCTGCTGTCTTCGTTGAGGCAGTTGCTCGCGGTGCTCGCGTGCTGCTCAGCGTTGGCTCTGTTGGCGCCGAGAAGGCAGGCGATGCGGTCGATAAGTTACCACTGCCAGTGCCACTGCCGCTACCGCTGCTCGCAGTGCCTGTCTTCTCCTGGCCGGCATTGTTGCCCTTTTCGCCGAGAGCCGGACAAGAGCCAATATCATGCATGGATGTTGTATCGCAGCCTGTAAACGGATTTTAATTATTGGAATGAATGTTTGGGATAAGGCTTTCAATCTTACCCTTTTGTATCCATTCGTGCTTCTTGCGATCGGTACCCGTGGAGCAGCGATTCAGCGCGGGGCACCAGGAGCACTGCCAGCGGTAAAAAAAAAGGAATAAAAAAATGGTTTTTGGCTTTAAAGCTGGCAGAACTCACGGCAAAGGTTGTGTTATGGTTAATGCACGACTGGCAATCATTGTAGCCCAGACAGGTGGGCAGGGCCGTCAGTATGATAATGGTGGCATTGGTGATCTCCTTACGCTGGAAGGTCACTCGGTGGTACTCATAGATGGTCTTCCGACGGGCAACTGTCACAGAAACACAAACACAAACAAAAAACAATTAGGATCTCGGCTATGCTGGAAGGCAAGGCATATATATATATTCCCACTCACAGTAGAGATGCTTGTCAATGATGTAGGCATCCGAGAGGCCCACCTTAACCGGATGCTGATTGTCCTGGATCGAGTTGATTTGCGTGGGCACCTGGAAATAGCCAAACACAATGTCGCCGCTCTGGTGCAGGGTCACGCTGAACGTGAACTTGCCATAGTCCGGCTTATCCTGAAGCGTCACGTTCTCCCAGACGGCCGTAAAGGCGGTACCTGGAGGACAGATTCGGGGATTCGGTGTTTAGATTAGATCTAGCCAGCACCAGCGCCTGCGCCTGCAGCCAGTGCTCGTTCTATAAATGCTCACCATTATCGTGCAGACGGACAACCGAATCGCTGGACATGCTTGTATCGAAATTGGCCATCAGGGGCGCAATATATTGGGTGGCCGCCAGCCAGGAGTGCACATACTCGCCGGTGTATAGGAAGCCGCCGGTGGCAACGGTTATGTTGCGCACATAATGCCCATAGAAGGGGAAATCGAATTGCAGCTCCACGGTCATGGCGCGACGATGCGACGACGACAACATACTGTTCTCGGGCACTGTACGCAGCTGGGACCACAGCGCTGCGGCCTCCGCCTTGTTGATATACAGGGTGCTGTTGTAGTACTCGTGGTAGTCCTCGGTGCGGTTCAGGCTGTCGTTGATGATGCCCTTGTTGATCACCTCCTCGGAGACATCCACATCGGTCACATCCACATCCGTCCAGTCCTCATTGTTGCGATCCGTTGAGCTGGCCCCACCAGCCGGCAGCGGCATCTGCAGCGGCACAATCGGTGCGGAAGCGGCCACCTTTTTCGGATACTGCGATTGGTTGCCCCCCAACAGCTGGGTGGGCTTCTTGCCCGCCATATTGATGGTGGTGGTGGTGCTGTTGGCGTTGGCTGTGGGGTTCGATGATCCATCGGCATTCTGGACACTGTAATCCTTTCGCTGTCCGGTACCATTGGCGCCCACATTGTGCACATTGTACGAGACACTGCCGCCCGCTGCTCCCGCTCCCGTCTTGCTGTCGACGGTGGTAACCGTGGTCTCCGTGCCACCGGCCACAGCACTGGCATTCCCATTGGTACTGACGCTTTGGTACTGACTCTTTGCATCCGGCGTTATGCCAGCCGGCGCTGATGCTGCCGCTGCCACTGCCGCCGCCGATGAGTCTGCCGTTGCGGCACGCTTCTGACGATTGACTGCTTGGTCGTCGCCCGTCGCTGGCAGTCGAACCACATCGTGGGCATTGATGAATGTGAGCTTTGTGTCGAGCGGATAATAGGCATCCGGATTGGCTGCAAAAAAAGAGAGCGAATATCGTTTGGATGAGTCTACTATGTATAGTGAGGTAAGATTCAGGTGCGTCGTTTCTTTTGGGATATATGTATGTATGTATTCTTCCTTTGTCCCAAATTTGTGAGTATATCAGCTGTGTCCTAGGCCCCACACACAAATCTATTTACGCAGGGGAAGTCCCTACTCGTTTTTGATAGATATTTCCATTAAAATTATAGTTCTTGCCGTCGTAGTATCTAGAGATTTCTGTTATTTAAATACTTTTTACTCCGCTTAGCTGCAGTTCTGCTGTAGGCGCTTTTATCTCTGGTAAATATTATCTGTTAATATGTATGCGCTGATTATACACATTATCATTTTGACTATCATTCTGTAAAGAATATATCTGGAAGCCTGCCATCTCTGCCTGAATCTCTGTCTATAGCCCGTTCACTTATCGCAAGTTAAATATTATCTTTTCCGGCACGAATGCATACATCATTATACACTTTAATGGGCATTATTATTCCCAATCTTCAGTATCTGTAGTTTCATTTTTATTTTATTTTTTTTTTTCCATAGCTAAAACATTTTTGATCTTAGGTATCTTAATTCTGTAGTTTTTTGTGGGCCATTATGTACGACCCATGGCTGTAGTAAATTACCCCAAAATGAAGTTTCCACACTCGCATGTGCAGTGCAATTTTCTGGTAATGTGGCATATGCCCCGGTCCCGGTCCCGGCCCTGGCCCCTCTCCACGCTATTACTATTTGTGTGTGTGTGTGTATTTTTGTGCTGTAATTAACCTAACTGTTGTTTGAAGCCGCTCTCAATATTGATTTTCTATTTTCATTTACCATTTCCCACATGTGCGCCAGCACCGCACCACAGCAGAAACACATCAAAGGGCCCCTGTCGTCAGAGACCCCCCTCCCCCCCACCAATGGCAATTACAACATGTGGCATGTGGTCGGTCGATCGATCGGTTGTTTGTTTGCCATGAATGGGGGGTGGGGGGTAAGTGCCACACGCAATAGCCCCCTAAACAAAAACAAAAACGATATCGATTTCTAAGCCCCAAGAATTATTCATAACTCTTGCACACACGCCAACAGTATATACATTTTTAATATAAATAAACAGTAGAACCCCCCACTCCAATCGTTCCCCACTTTCGAGCCAATTGCTTGGGGGATTTCTATACAAAATTAAACTGCAATTGAATACATTATTAAATTCCCTATTCACTTCATTTGTTTTTTTGTTTTAAATTTGTTCTTGCTTTTTGGTTACAAAATGTTTTCATTTTTGTTGTTTTGAAAATGGAAAGCTGAAGCCCAGAATCCGGAATATTTCTGCTGCTCTAAGCTTAAAAAAAAAAAGAATTGCGCAAGCAAAGAGCTCGTTTTCGTTTGATTTGTATGTATTTAAATACATTCATACATAATATGTATGTACATACATATGTATATATGTACACTGGTATCGTGTTCTCAAACATAAAACTCCAATCCCATTGGGTTAAGCGATAAAGACAATTCCCTATGGCCCAATAAATTTCAATTTTCATATAACTATGTCGATACAATTTTTAGGAATCCTTAAAACTTAATTTACACAATTTGCAAACGATTTGATTGATATTTAATGTGCAAACCTATTGAAATAAATATTAATATCACCAATAATAGCGATCGTTTGAGTAGATATTATGAGTATTTCAAAAGATTTACTGCCACTTCTGCTGCTTCATAAAATTCCCATAAGCGAACGGACACATCGTTACGAATACGAGCGTATCAGGCGCAATATTAACCAAGAAGATACAAGTACATATGTATGTATACATATAGCATGCACATATACATATGTATAAGAATAATTCTCATCTTTCGTAATACCCTTTGCAATGCAAGACAAAATAAAACACACAAAAGCCCTCGGGAGTCAGCTTTCAGCTGTCTTTGGCGAAGCGCAACTGTACACAGAGAGAGACACCAACACACGGACACACAGTCACGTTTGTGCATGTTATAATTGTTTACCGTTTTTGAATGGAACAAATCACAACTGAACGATTACATTGCGGGCAGGCACACAGCACTCTGCACTAGCACCAGCAGCAGCACCAGTCACCCGTGCCGACTATCAAATGCGGCACATACATACATACATACATGTACATACATATATGTATGTACATAGTATTATTATATGTCTATATATGTGAAAAAGAAACAGCGACATCGAAAGCAAAAGCTGCGCGTCATCGATGCCCCCATCTGGCGGTTGATCTTGCATAATTACGGGTATTAGACGCAGCCGCTGCCGCAACAGCAACAGCAACAGCAGCGACTGCGGTCAAAATATGAGTCAACCCCAAACAACAGAGACACAGCAGAGAATCAGCTCGCTGCTCCCTTGCCCTATTTTCAACTCAAGCTTGGGGATGGGTAGAGAGAGCACAGATAATAAATCGAATGGGAATACGAAATATCAGCAAGTGGATTTTGTCACTGCAAGTGTTACATTCCATGTGTCCGTTCGCTTAAGGGAAATATTTTGCACCGAATCAATGTAATTTACTCTCGCTATCCTTCAGTGTGGGGGGGGGGATTCGTCAGTGCACATTCTCTCGCTCTCAAGCTTAGTCTCATTTTTTGACTTGGACTGCAGCAGAGAAAATTCATCTCTGCCATGACAAAATCCATGAAAGCGAGAGTACCACCTGATGCCGCCCCGCGATCTGATGCCCTTCCTCTCCTCTTCTACTTTTGCGACTGCTTTCAGTGCTTTTTTGAATTCAATTGAACCCAGTGTTAATTGCTGTAAATGTTGTCCGTTTTTGTACGTTTGCTGTGGACTGTGTCACGGAGTTGTTGCTATTGTTATTGTTGTGGAAGCAATTGGCGTAAATTTATTCAGCATTTGATTGAAAACCAAAAAATTGATCTTCAATATTTTGTCTCGTGTGTGTGTGTGTGTGTGTGTGAGAGCTTTTTACTTTAGTTAGTTTTTGCTAATGACCTCCACAGAACCAGAGCCAGAGAAAGGCCCCAAAAGTGGGTCAACAAATTTGCACAGTGACCCCCTTCTTTTCGGTCTTTTGCCGGTCTTTAATTATTGGGTGTATTGTTGTTGTTGTCTTTCTTTCATTTGTATTTTTTATTTTTGGGTGAAATGCGCCAACAAGGTGTGAAGGACGCATGAAATCAATCAGTGTGAGAGTTTCATTGGAATCATTGGAAATTTCTGCACAAAATTCAACCACGATACTCGTATTGTACACAGTAGCAAATTGTGTGTGTGTTTTGTTGTTGTTGTTGTCCAAGCAAAAGTATGCACATAAATTCACGCAAGGCTGTTCGTTTCACTGCATTCGTCGGCGCATTTCGGTCTGGCCTGCTCTCCCATTTCTATTTACGTTTGCGCTTTTGAAATTACTTATCGCCAGTGGCCAGTGGCCCCAGTGGGCCCCACTCCATTGTATGCATATCTTGTTTTTTAAATTTTTGTGTACCTGCTCATATACACATGGATAAAAGCAGGTAAAGGTATGAAAAGATTCCGATAATTCCACATATTTCTATATATAAAGTGAAGTTATTTTAATGTTGCTCCTTGCTTTCCAGTTTGATAATTTTTGACTATTAAAACTGATTTTTGTAGCGGGTATTTCGATGGTCGGGTCGAAACATATCTGTCTCATTTATACTGCACTTGTTGGTGGGGTTGGCGGCTATCTATCGACAGCGGCCGTTTTATCAGTATTAGTTTTTGGATTTTCCCCCAACTCTTTTAACTGATAGCTTGACATACAATTTGCGTCGCACGCTTTCAGCTAATTGAAGGTTGTACGGTTACCAGTACCAGTACCTGTGCCTGTACCTGTGCCTGTATCTGTACCTTTACCTGTCCGGCAGTGTAGTACTCCTACTGGAGTTCACTTCCTCGGGGTGTGCACTGGTGTTTGTTCAGTCACTACACTGGGCCAGACGTGGCCGGAGTGTTAATATTTTAACAGTTCTTTTATGCGCCGTTAGGCGGAAAAGCTTATCAACCACCAAATCAATGGAAGTCAAACAAAGGCAAGTGCGAGCGTGCGTTTTTTTTTTCTTCCCAGCAAATGGACGGACGCTGATGATGATGATGATGGTAATGATGTGTTAACGTCCGTTAATCTTTCCATGGCCTAGACGACGACAAGACAAGACAAGCGATGCATTTGTCAAAGAGCATTGCATTTGCCCGGAGATCACTTGAAGATCTCTTCTTTGCCACAATGGGTAGCAACTGTTTAGGTCCATTAACTTGTTAGAGCTCGAAAACCCGAGAATAATCTCGAGTGGCAATGAATGAAAGAAAAAATGAGTTGCAGTTGCTTCGGGGCAGACAGCAGCTTTTATTCTTTTAACTTTTCGATTCAGACAAAAAAAAAGATGTAGATTTTGGGTAATAGACTTGGCCAATATTCTTATACAGTCTTCTTCCTACTTAACTGGCATTTCTGGAAGCTCAAAAATGTCATTCTTATATTGGGATATACCCATATCTGGACGACAGAGGAAACAATTGAAATTCACATTAATTTGATATGGGGGATAAACGATAGAAGCGGATGGATGATTCAGCTGGTTCAAGCTTATTCCCCGCAAAAACCCCCACCCAGAGAATTGATCACACAACAGCTTTAACCCAGACTTCAGACTCCAGTTCGCCAAATGAATGGATAGTTGGATGGTTGGATGCTTTATCAAGAAAAAAGAGCAGCAACAATATGTGTAAATAATAATGAACGGGACCGCCCTTGATAAGGAGGAGACTCTGGTGCCAGTAGCAGGCTGACGCCAAGTCAATTCCAATGGGAATTCGAATCGAAATGCCGTTTTGCTTCTGATATATGCAGATCTATTGGAAGCTGCACGCAGTGGCCCACAGATGGGTGTTTTGGGAATTGGAATCAAAGTGAATCCATTGCTGGAAGCCGTAGATGTAGACTTTGAACAGTTTGCAACCTTAAAAATACCAAATGGCAGTGGGAATCCACAGGAATCCGTAGATAGCTTTTTTCCTGGAACTCACTAATGATGGACATCGGTTTTGGAGTACAGTTTGCAGTGGAGGGCAAACTGTCCACAGATAAAGAAATGAAAAATTATAGAGATTTGTGTGCTTCGGGTAAGTCCCACTCCGGACAGTTGACCCCCAGTGGCAAGATAGTAGCGTTACCATTCAGTACTTTAACTGATGCCAAGCGAATAAAATTTCTGAAGAAAAAGTCAAACAAATAAAGAAACTGATTATGGGGCGCTGACTGACTGCCCTGACTGACAGCCCGATGACGGGATGGGGGCCAAAAGACAAAGAAAACTCGAACCGTTCCCAACTGTATCAACAAAATACAAATATAAACTGTGGGGTGGGGTGAGATGGTGAGGTGAGGAAGAGGAGAGGAGCCAAGTGTGCAAGAAAAAGAGTAATTTAACTGCGAAATAAGCGACTTTCCAGCCAGTTTTTGTTTTGTTTTTGTCCCCCCCGTACATTGCATTATTGGCCAATTACACAACACTGTTTGAAATGCGTCATAAATGGGGCTTGGACAAGGAGAGGGGAAGAGCAATAGATATATAGATAGAGAGAGATAGAGAAGTAAATACAAATGCAAATGCAGTTAACGGCACTCCACTGCACTCCGTGCCAGAAGAGGCCAGGCCAGCTGAGAGCGAGCCGGTGCGGTTCACAAGGTTGCCACCTGTCGGCGAAGCAGATGAAAAAACAAGTAGCAAAAGTGTTGCCAGGTCTGCCTTTGGTCTACTCTACCCTTTTTTCTTTTTTTGGAGCCCTCGTTGTTTTTGTTGTTGTAACCAAGCGTAATTCCACAGCATTTTATTCGTTTAAGTTGGAAATTGCAAAATTGGCGACACAAAAAACAATAAGCAAAACACACATTTTGCGCCTTTGTTTTGTTTCGTGTTAATCAAAGTGCGCCACAAATTTCAATTTAAATATGCAGGTTGAACCTGCCCTGGCACTCCGGACGGGGAATGGGACTGTCGTCTGGTGCCTGTGCCTGTGCCTGGTTGCCGCCTGGTGGCGACGTCGCAGTTGAAAAATTGTTGCACGTTAAGTGGAGCATGGCGAAGAGCACAAAAACAAAAAATTATAAATAAAAACCAATCCGTAGCCGTAACAAGGAGGGGGTGGCAGGCGGGTGAAGTGATGATAGATGGTAGCAGAGAGAGTAAAAGGCCTGTCGCATACAGGACACATGTTTATACATGCATACATATGCATGCATGTGTGTACATACATTTCTTTGACTTTTGCCTATTTTCACACTCGACTGCCGTTGTAGATCCCCCCCACCCCTTCTAAATACACGTACACTTTTTTTTGTCAATTAACGCATTTAATGCCACATAAAAAAAAAACAGAAAAATACAACATGGCAGCAGATAAAATTTCACCATACAACAAAAAATACCAACTGTCAGAGCGACCCCTGGCCATAGTCATACCCGATGATGATGGTTTTGTCTTTTGTGTACAAACAAAATCAAATACACATGTACATATACATACATCGTGCTCGGACGATGAGTTTTAGATAGATGTATGCATTACGTGGATTTCTTTTGTTTCATTTCAGCTATATATGATGAAGAAACCTAAGAAATAACAACCAGATTTACAGCCAAAATTACAAACACACACACGCACGCAACCACATTGGATATAGAGAGTGTGTTAGAAAAATAGATAGAAGAGGGACAGAGACTGAGAGAGGAAAACGTACACACACGCACACGCACACATACACCATAGAAGTTATACAAATATTTGGAACGTCTTTTGTTTCATGTTGAAGAATTTAATTTTAATCGAGTGCACACCAAACTTACACCTTGCCGACGTTATTTCAATTGCACTGTATATCGTAAGGAGAATTGCAATTTGCGCGCACGCACAACCGAAACTTTTCGCCATCTTTTCCCCGTGCTACTTGCAACGTTGAATATTGATATATCGAGTATTGATGTATATTTCTTTGACAATATTATTATTATTATTTTTTGCAAATATACGGATATTTTTGTGGGGATATATCAACGGACTTTTCTGAACTCAGAAAAAAATTCGACACTATTTTGTTGTTTCATTGTTCGCGGCAGAAAAATTTGTGAGACCATCAGTGGGACACTCTGGACATATCGATAAAATGTACCCGTCTGCCTCTCAAAAATATACCTTCTCATTTTCAAAATATACCGTAAATATGCCGATTAAAATCATATTCCTCAATTTTGATATTCGATTTAATATTACAAGCTGGTTAGGACTCTAAACACTGAAAATATAATTTCATCCGATTCATGAATCAATTTTCTTTAAGATTGGTTAAAATTAAGGACATTCTTTTTATTGGATTGTTCATAAAATAACACTAAAACAAAGAAGTTAAAACGAAATGTCGCAACAGAGCTTTTAACTCAAGTTTTGTAAATGAAGTTCAGAGCGCAAAAATGAGCTCACCGCTTTGAAAAATGAATTTATGGTCAATCTGTATATAAAGGTATATTAAACGGAAATATTGGTATATTACGGTGTACTTATTTAAGTTATTCCCCAAACTTTCAAAACGCCGCACAGTTAGAGTTAAAATCTATATTGTAAACACAGGCATAAACATGGTATCAACACGAAACAAAAAAAAGGCTCAGCCGATATTGGCATTATGAGTTCCATTGTATCAATTAAAGTTAATTTTTGTTTTCGCTATGTTAATGATAGCGTTTTTCATTTTTGATTCGTATGGATGATATATGGCTAAAAATAATTTGGTATATTTGCAGTATATATTTTTAAACAGGGCAGGTATATTTCGGTCTATTTCTGACGGTATATTTGATTGATAGAAATCCGCGTTCACTAGAGCTGTCAAACGATTGATAGTTGAGCCATCGATAGCTTTGAATGTTTTGAAAAAACAATCGATAGTATCGTGGGCTCAAATAATTATTAAACAACCATTGAAACCTTTTAGGAACTTGTCCATTGTAAAAATTAGATGTCACCTGTCGTTTGTTTACAAATTTGTCTTCGTATTTTAGAGCAGCCAATCAAAACATATCAAAAACGCAACAACTTTAGCTCGATACTATCATGATAGTCGCAAAACCATCGATAGAAGCGGCTAGCAGCAAAACATCGATGCTATCGATAGTGCCCTCGATGGTTTGACACCTCTAGCGTTCACGGTACACAAGTAAAACTAATTAAATGTTAGATTTAACATATCGATGACCATTTTCAACGCAGTTGATAAGTTTACTATGATGTCTGGCGACCGGGTAAAGATTAAGGACCTGCTGTGTAGTCGACTGACCGAATGCGGATGGCGTGACGAGGTGCGGCTGCTGTGCCGCAGCATCCTGCAGGAGAAGGGAGCCATCAGTAGCTTCACCGTGGAGCAGCTGGTGACGGAGGTGACGCCCCGGGCCCGTTCCCTCGTTCCCGATGCCGTCAAGAAGGAGCTGCTGATCAAGATTCGTACCATTTTTGACGATAACGAGGCCGAGGACATCGATCACGACGATCCCTGACATAAAGTGCTAATGATATCCCGCATGCAAATCCCCTAGACACTATTTTCAATTATAGAATTTTATTTTTTAATTTTATACAATAATTATATACGTATACACACACACATACACACGCGCGCGCAAGCCCGACACATTTCAATCCCCGGTATTAAGATGGGGTGGGGGGGCACCAGGGAGCGGAATGATTTCAGTCGAGCGTGGGGCATGCGGAGCTGTTGCTAAGCAGCTCAAAGGTCTCGCCAACGGATGGATCATCCATTAAGTTGATGGCCGGCCCCGGCACATTGGCCGCCGCAGCTGTCTCTGCCTCCGTGCTGGAGAGATGGCCGGAGGCGGAGACCAAAGCGGAACTGGTTGTCGGCTGGGAATACTTGCGCACCCAATCATTTGGATGCATCTTCTTCTTGTGGTTGTGCATGTTGGCGTGCGACTTGAAGGTGCGGGTGCAGAACTGACACGAGTACAGATCGATGCCGGTGTGCGTGGCCATATGCTCCTAGTGGGGAATAGAATCAGATCGGATTGGACACGCAACAAGGGTGAACACAACTACTCACAACCAGGGCGCGCGGCAGTTTGAACTCCTTGTCGCAGAGGCTGCACTTGTGCCGCTTGGCGGAGTGATGGTATCTCATGTGGCTGCTGAGTGCGGCACGAGAGGACTTCTCCGCGTTGCAGAGGGTACAACGATACTTGTTCGAATTGTCGCGATCATCGTGTCTAGCGAGATGCTTGCGGAGACTCCGCTCGTCCCGCAGCCAGCGGCCGCACAGGTTACACTGCACCTCCGCCACGGGGCCATCCGGATGTAGTGCCTTCTTGTGTATGATAAAGTTGGCCTTTGAGCGGAAATGCGTGCCACAGATGTCGCAGATGATTGGGGTGAAGTCTGCCGCGTGCATTCGCTTATCGTGGGCGCTCAGCTCAAATTTGGTGCGGAATCTGTAAGTATTGCACGGTATCAAACGACCGACCATGACTCCCGCTCGCACACTCACGTCTTGCCACAGGTGTCGCAGACCTCGGGTCGCTCGGTGCCCTTGTGACCCTTCAGATGCATGGTCAGGAGGAACTTCTTGGCAAACCGTGCCTCACAGATGGCGCACTGGTGCACCAACTCCTGCTGCTCGGAGTGGAAGCGCAGCATGTGCATCACCTGGCTGTTGCGATTCAGGAAGTTCTTGCGGCACGGCTTGCAGCTGAAGTACTGCGGATCCTTGTGACAGTGCAGATGGTCCACATATAGCGTACGCTTCTTATACCGATTGTTGCAGCACTTCACGTACCCCAGCACATTGTGCTCCACGCGAAAGTGTCGCTTCAGATCGTTGAAGTCCGCAAGGGGTGCCGTGCACAGGCAACAGTCGAGCTTCACATTGGCAGCTATAAATTCGTCCATCTCCTTGATGCTGTTACGCTTCACCGCAGGTTCAGGGTCAGTTGCCACCTCAATAGTTGGATGCTTTTTCTTGCGCTTAGTCGTGGCACGGACACGTTTCGTGCCGCTGGCCCGCTGGGCCGGCACGCTGGGCGCGTTGGCCGAAGGTGTCGATTCGTTGCCGGATGATGCGGGCTCAGGTTTTTGTCTAAGCTCGCGGGCACGGGCTCGGGACTCGCGGAGTGTGAGCCCAGTGAGGGCCGCCGCTCTCGCCTGTTTGTGCTTCTCGTATTTCTTTTTTATGAGCTGGGATTCCTTTTGGAGAGTTTTGCGGGGCCTGCCTCTAGTTCGAGTAGGTTTCACAGGATCTGGCTCGATGGCGTTGGGCTCGTAGTCCGTCTGAAATCGATCGCCATCGTCATCACTATCCTGATCGTCTCTGGCGGACATTGCATCGATGACGGGCTCACATAAAATGTGATCCTTAATATCACCGGCCTCGAAATTGATCTTCGACTCGATGGGCGACTCGGTGTTCCACACGATAAGACCCGGTTCCGGCTCTGGATCTGAGACCTCAATCTTGAGCTGCAAGGCGCGCTGTTTGTCCGCCACCATGGCGCAAAACTGTTCGAAGCTGGACAGCTGCTGCCAGCAGGTGCCGCACAGGCAAGTAGACACCGCGTCATTGGCCGCCAGCTAAGGATTGAGAGTGTTGCGTGTAAATCATAAGTCTAAGCCAACCAAACCAGCCAAAACCAAACCCAAATCCACTCACCACCAGCTGCAGATGCTTCTCTATCAGTTCCGCCAGCTGCCGCATCGTTTGATGCACGGGCCCGCCATCCTCGTGGAAGATGGGCACAATGTGCTCTGTATCCTCCAGGCAGAGTCGACATATCATCATCTCATTCAAATATAAAAACCAAATTCCTTTAAATGCACGACAGCAGCTGTTTACAGGTCGTTGCTGTGATGTTGCAAAGCGTTGCCAGATCGGCTGTCTCAGTTCTGCGCGCTTACCAAAAATAAAGCTAGATTTTTCCTCATTTAATTATTTAGATTTATTTATTTTAAATGGCGAGTAATTAAATTTGAATTTATTGTATGCTTTAATCCAGAATGATATCTATGTTTTCGTTAACGGGCAGTTGACGTTGGCGAGCTGCAGGCTTCGGAGGCAATTTGGGCTTGGGTCTATCCACGTTCTCCTTAGCCAGAACGATTGTCTTCATCTCTCCGGCTATGTCTTCTTGGGGTCCATGTTCGACATTGGCTTGAATCTGTCCACGCAACTCACGCTTGGCAAGCACTTCATTAATGATAACTTCAATACTTGGCGTTATCCGGAGTTTGTGTTTATTGTGTCGCGAAATGCCGAGGCAATTAATCGCGTTCATTACCTGACCAAAAATAACACTCCTCACTTGTCCAATAATGTCGCCGCCTCTCTGCGATGCATTTATCAGTGCCTGATCAATGGATTTCTCGTTGCTTTTGAGGAACGAGCATAGAAACTGTTCGTAGATTATTTTACTGCCGCCGCCGAGTGTCGGCAGAAGCCAGCACAGGAACAGTACCTTGAACTCATTGAGGAAAGGCACCAACGCAACGAAGCCTTGAGTGAAGTAGTCAAATAGCAAAAAGACGGCGTATACAATCCAGTATGATACCCATACGCGCATATTTACATCGGAGGGTTTCTTGGCACTCAAAACTTTGTTGGACATGAATGCGGGATATAGACAACCCACTAGTAGTGCGATAAGCCGTACGATGCTTTCATAGATCATGATTTTAGTTCCAAGAAAATGCCTATTGAATTTTGAACAATCTAAATTGTGTAGTGTCTAATGAGAAATGAGTAAATATTTACATGGAAATCAATGCATTCTATATAAATGCTAACATGTTTGATTTGAACACCATAAATGGCTAAACAGGCGTCAATATATATATATGGCATCACTACTATGCACAGTGTTGGTAAATGTTAACAGGAAGGCACGATAGGTGATAGCGCCACTGTTCCGATGTTTTTTTTAAACAAAGATCGAGTATATAGTTACAATTTATATTTATTATGGTGGTATTTCCCTAAAATTCACTTTAAAATGTTTAATGATGATTTACCACCACACACAGCTGTGCCTTGTAAATTCATATTAGTGTGTCAAAAAACATCGACTATATCGATGCTACTATCGATGTTTCTTCAGCTTTGTACAGCACTCTTTTCATTCTGAACGCCGCGGAAAATTTATAAATTATAAATTTTAATCTTAAAACCTGAACTAAAATGGACCCAGTACGTACGGATGAAGTCCCTAATGAGCTGGGCGATGACATTTCGGATATTGATCTTCATGATGTGCCGGCCCAACTGGAAAATACATTGAAGCCGACATTCCATGAGACCAAAAGTCTTTTCAACATTAACATTGACGAAGGTAAGCGGCCGGCGTTCCCATATTTTAATATTATCTACCCTACTCTACTCTCTACTGTTGATCGTTTTAAATTTTCAGTTTTTGAAAACACCTCTGGCGATGAGGACGTGGAGGTGTATAAGGAGGACATCAAACTCAAGCAGCAGGAGTGGATTGACTTTATGGTTAAGGCAACCAAAAAGGGCGAGGAAGCTCTAAAAGATTACGAGGCTACCCTAGCGAACCGAGAGGATCTAAACCCGATCCGCGAGTTCAAGCCAAATGCAGAGCAGCAGGCCTACTTGGACCAGGGTCCCGACTTTCAGAATTTCATCAGGGGCCACCTGGAATTCCGTAAGAATTTTAACGCGTTCCAGGTGAAACACGAGGAAATGAAGGAGTTGCAAGCCCGCATAATGGAACGCTGCCAGCTGCGCCTAAACTTTCTTGCCTACAACGCCATCAACCAAAACTTGGCCACTGCACGCAAGAAGCCAGCAAAGCGCGGTTGATTTTCAATATATTTTTATGCTTAATTAAAAGTTGATGAAAAAAAAACAAACAAAATAAACACTGGCTAACAAAATGGCTTAGCTTCGAAAGTATTAATTCTAATTAATGTGAGTTTGTGTATTGCCTATTCCTTGGCCCAGGAGCCCAAGTATTTCATCAGGTCGGTAAGGCTGTCGAAGTCCGTGCGGCTTGCCGGCGGCTCGTCTTTGGTGATGCGCGGCAATGCATTGCCCATCTTCATGCGAAACTCTTGAAACTGAATGAGAAAATTTCGATTAGATATAGCCAAGCACTGGCTGTGTGTGTTGGTGCCTACGTCTTTGGCTCCGCTTAGCTTCCAGAATCCGTAGCAGAATGCTCCCGTGCCCAAGACGGCATAGAGGGTACCCCAGCCAAGGGCTCGCAGGGCCAGGGTGGCGCCCTCGTCCATCAGGATTATACCCTGACGAGCTCCCTGCTGCTGTAGCACCTGGCTGTCTGCTTTCTTGGCCGTGGCCAGGGTGCGCGAGAAGCCAAAGAGTGCAGAAATTCCGCCGACGAGTCCTAGGAAAGCAGCGCCTGCATAGAAAAGAGACCGTCACAAAATCACTGGAACAAGGATAACCGGGCTGAAAAGGGCTCTCACCTTGTATGCGAAACTTTCGTTCTTTATCCGCCGTCACTGCATCTGCATTGGCGCCGGCTTCGTTCATTGCTCTCTTAATTTTTCCGCTATGTATTTTATTTATTTGTCGTAAGAGTTAAATATATTTTGATATCGACAATGATATATCGATATATATTTTTTAGGTTATAGTATCGATGGTTTGTGGGATAAGTAACGTAAGAAAGTTAAATGCATGAATATGTAAAAAATTGCCCATACGAGAAAAATTCATTATTACTTCGGTTTCAAAGCAGCTTCGAAAATAGAATATTAATTAATTAAATAAATTAATCCATATAAGTAATGTTGATATGTAGCAACTGTGTAGTTACCGTGTCGTTAACATGTAAAATAAAAGGACATTTTTGTTAGCCTTCTTAGCTTATACCTTATTTAATAAACAATCCAATAAGCGGAGTCTTCATAATAAATTTGTATGTTTAGGGCTGACAGGGCCAACTAGCTAGTAATATCTAACCGAAAATCAAAATCGATACATATCAACGCATTTTGTCAGTATATGTGCGGTATACTTACGGTATATTTCTGGGGTATTTTTGGGCTCCCAATTCGAACGCAGATATGAGTTTTGAGTGCACTCTTTCGACTGGGCCATGGTATGGCCCCAGTATTAAAACGGCCAAGCTTTTTTTAAGGGCCTCGCAAGGACCTCACCCTAGCCCCGACGGACTAAATATACCATGGGTGCGCGAAAGCACAAAATCCCCCACTGAAAGCTCTGCTTTTTGTGACGTCACACGGCACACCTAATACCCTTCTCCATGCGGCGCAAACAATTTGTTTACTTTTTTTTCTTGCGCGTAGAGGAGCCGGCGCTTTGATTTTTTTAAGATTTTTTTTTTCGAAAATTTTGCCGCAAATTAATGTAAATTTACGCGCTTTTGTGGTGTTGTGTGGCTCCCCGTGTGCATATGTATCGAAAATGCCGAGATTAGCGGCAAAATGCAAAATGTAAACGGCGGCAATAATAATCAGTGCAAAAGAAGTGCGTGCCAGCAGCGGTAATAACACACAAGCCAAGCGAGTGGAGTGCCAAAAAAAAAAGCAGCTCTTATTGGAGTTCGACGAAAAGAAGCGTAGAAACCGCAAAGAAGCAACAAGTGGCCGGCCCATACACTGTGAAGAGAGAGAGAGAGAGAGAGTCCAACGGCTACGACAGCGAAAATGTGCATATGACCATCGATTCCTGAACACCAGTTTCTCCTCCCTGTCTCTTCCCATCATCCCCGATCATCATCATCATCATAGTCAGACCCCCACATCCCACATTCAAGTTCAAGTGCAGAGTCTTTGAAACATGCGTAGACCAGTCGCCACGTTGAGCCGCAATCATTACTTCGTCATTGGGCTGCTGCTGGGGCTCGTGTTGAGCTGCTACATACCGCAGGACATCTGGGAGCTGGTCCAGCAGGAGGAATGCCCCCAGGAGGCTGCCGAGAATCTGCTGATCGAACGCTTTGGCCAGGACTTTGAGCCGCATCTGAATCTGATCAATAAGCCGCTGGCGGCCAAAAAGCCGGTAAGTCCTACGCACTTAAATTCAAAATCGAAAATCCGAATTGGGAATGCGGGTAATTCAGCTGCCCAGAAATGTAAATATTCACGCTCAGACATGACTCGTCGTCGTCGTCGTTGTCTTCGTCGTTGCCGTTGTACACATGTCTCATGTATCAGGGAGTCCACTGATAGCAATTTATTGACCTTCTTGCTTATCGCGCGCGCGCGCGCTCACTACACCGCGCAACAGCGTCCATGTTTTTGGCAATGCCATAACAAAAAGAGGAAGAGTTAATAGTTGTCAATCAAGTTGTCATCCTTTCGGAAGGTACTATAAGGCACTCGCTGTTCTCTCCCTGTTTAAACGAAACTTGACGCAAATAGAGCCAATATGCCGTTTCAGAGCCAATATATAAAACGTGTATTTTTAGTGCCATGGGAGAAATATTCTGGGAAAAATCGCTTATCCATTGTGGAGTCTTTGGACGCCTTAATCCTGTTGCACAGTGTTAACTCCTGGAAAGACTGCCGTTATTTGGTTCGAGCGTATCGGCGTCAACGTCAGCAGCGGCTCATGCAGACGTCATTTCAATTTTTTTCTTTCTTTTTTTGGCTTAAAATTATTCCCTTATCGATACCGATGACACCGCCACACACGCATACGCATACACTTTGCACCTCTTTGAGGTGAGATGCAAGGTGTGCACGTGGCAGGGTATGGCATTACGGATCCTCAATTTTGGCTCTCGCTCCTTGTCTGCACGCAATGCTCACGTGAGTGTGTGCCTCTGCACTCGAGAGAGAGGGAGTGCTGCCAAAGAAGGTTTCACCTGGTCCACAAGTCCACTGTGGCTGCAGATATTGGTGTGAATTAAAGAGAGAGAGAGAGAGAGAGCGCCAGGCTCCCCCCCACTCCAACGGTTTTGTACAGTTTGGCATGCACTGAACCCGAACCACCTAATGAATTCCAGACGATCGCGCGATCTCATAAATTTCATTTACATAAATAAACTCATTATGCCTTTAAGTAAATAAATGTTAACTCGATCCATCGTACGATTGTACACATGTATATATGCTCTGTGTGTGTATGTGTGTGTGCATGCAAAAATCGAAAGCAGCAAAAAAATTTATTGAATTAAATAAAGTGCGCGAGAATACGAGAACAAGAAGGTTCCGTTAAGGTTTGGTGTGCGCCTCTTTGTTAGTCGAAGCTGGGACTACCCTGGAATCCACCTATTATTAATATTGCTATGCGGCATACCCTCTTAACCCTAGAGTATCTCACATGGGGAATTCGAAATCGATTAAATATTTTCCATATGCCATGAGGTTTTTTGCCCTCATGTTCAGCATATTACGAGTGTGTACAATGTTTCTGTTGTTCCTTTTGTGGATATGCCAACGTTTGCGTTTTATCCAACGTGCAATCAAAATTTGTTGTGCGAAGAAGTTTAATAATTTATTGCACGTTTTTAATTTTTTTTGTTGGTGTTGTGTGTGTGCGACAAAGAAAACTGGAACTGTTTTCTTGCTACCATTTATGGGGTGGGAAATAAAAGTGACATTAATGTGTCGCTGAGGATGTCAAACATTTTTCAACGATCGTTGCGTGTGGAATACATAAAATAGTCTGTAGATTTTGTTGATAGATTTCCCTGAAATTTTGAATATGGGCAGCACTACTACCAGATAAAGATCCCTTCTTTTGGCAGAGTATATTCCATTCCATAAGTTAGTTTAGCTCAAAACTAAGGAAATTCTGAACGGAAATTGTGCTGAGTGAACCAATTTTGGTGGCATGTTTTCTATCAAAAGTTGCGGCTTAATCTCAAGTATTTTGGGGCACCTATTCTGGCATCATTTTGGAGTGAAATATATGCTGAAAAGATTGACAAACTTCGTACAATTACGGCCCTGTGGGCCTCCCGGCCGATAATTGCTGCTTGGACTCGGAATCATGATTTGTATAACCCGCGTTGCGGATCGTCTTTTCGAGTCTTTTATTTATTTCTTTTTTTTTTTTTTGCGCCACGAGGGGTATGGGAAATGCTTACTTGTGTTTCTTTGCGATTAAAATGACCATTTTACGAGTCGCACATGGGGTTTCAAGAGTCACTTTCTGTTGTTGTGTTAATGTACTTTATTTTTGTTATATTTTTTTTAATGTGCGTAATGTGTCTGTGTAATTATTTGTGTGAGAGAGTTTGTGTGTGTGTGTGTGTGCTCATGTGCCGCCTGTCCGATTGTCCATCCAGACGAAAGGTTTGGGATGGAACAGACAGGACAGACAGAGAGAGATAGCGAGCGATATAATGTTTGAAACTCGTTCGCATTCGCATTTTGAAAATTAAAACTTTGTGTTTAAAAGTGGCATTGGGAAGTGCCATATACCCTGTAATGACAAAAGACCAATTGAAAATTGTTTCAAGAAAATTTCGAAGATTTTATCTGTTCCATGGGTATGATGGAAACCTTTGAATGCAATATAGAAATATTTGCTGTTAAAAACGAATTTAAAATATTTTAAACAAAATATTATACAAAAAAAAATTATATATAATTTTTTACGTTGTCTTAGAAATATAGAAAATATAGAAATAAAAGTTGATACAACATAGCAAATATAAAGCATTAAAAATATAAAAAATATATGAATATTTTCTATATATAATTTACTGGAAATCTATGCCCCTATTGGATGAGATAAGGAATGATAAAAGTAAAAAATAAACCATTAAAAATATGGAATAAATATACAACAAATTCCATAGACTTTTCTACAGATATTTGACTGAAAAACAATATAGACATAATATGGTAAAGGTTAGCAATAAACCATTAAAAATATGCCATAATATATGAGAGCAATATGTAAATATGTACGTATGTATGTCCTTGGATGATTTTATAGATATTTCTGTAGATATTTATGCAGATGCTTTACACGAAAAGAAAAGCTATTAGATGGCTATTCATTAATGAAAATATATCTGAGTCTGAGTAAACCATTGTAACTTTGTATGCTGTAATTACACTAGTCAAAACATTTTTCTCAAAAAGTGGGGTAGAAATGGTGCTTTGAAGGAATGGTATTTTTTATATTGAAAGAAAAAAACACGAAAACTTTTATACAGTAATATGAAATGATGATTTTTTTGTGAAGCTAAACGTTAACCAACTATGAAAAAATGACAAAAAATACCTGGAGGTTGCTGAACTGCCCATTGGGATTGGTATCGTAGGTACCAATGTACACCCTTTCGTTTGTTGTTATTGGGTTGGGCCAACCTGAGGTTTTTGTCTTTTTTTTTTAGGTTTGGTTAAAATTTTAGTTCTCCTTTTATGGGATACTAAACTTTAAAAAAACCAATAAATTTTTTTTTTTTCTATTTTTAAAGTATTGAAAAATATATTCCCAGAGTTAATCAAGTGTTTGGGTTATGTTTTATCTAATGAAAGTTTTACACCAATGTAATCTAGAGCTGAAAAAAAGATAAAAAGAAAAAAAATACCAGATTAAAAATTCTTAAAAAATTTCTAAAACATATTCTAAAACTTTTAATCCCATATCTATCAGAAAAGTTGGTTTGGATCCTTAGGAAAAAAAGTTCGATTTGCGAGTAGTGTTATCAGAACATTCTGTGGTTATCGATAGCTAATGGATATTTTCTGCAAATATTTCTATAGATAGAAACACAAACCCTTGACCAAAGTAGTAATACACTTTGCACAAAGTGTATAACAAGATTATAGTCGGACAAAAGTCGTTTTCGTTTTCATTTTCGTTTTGTTCCATTCACTTAATAAAAGAGACAATAACTGCGTTTGCCCGCCGCAAATAGAGAGATCTGAGAGTAAGTATTACCCGTAGTACGAGTGTATTTATCTATCTATTTATCTATCTATATATATAATGGTGCCACAGATGTGTAAGAGAGTCGAGTGGGGTACACACACAGGCAGACGTACACACGGGGGCTAAGTGGCTAAGCAGCTCGACATACAGCCAGGCAGACAGACAGACAGACAGAAAAGGCATTTAAGTGAAATCAGAGACGGAGCGGAGGCACAGCACTTTGAACTCCAAAGAAAAAACGAAGATGAGATGCCCAGAGGTAGTCTGATCGATGACCAGATCAATGGGATCAGTTGAGAACAGAACAGAACCGAACAGAACTGAACAGATTTTGGCACCTTGTCTATGCTGACCCACATTGAACCTGACTGAATTCTGTTTGGATTTTCCTTTCAATACAAAATTTGGAGTTTCGTTTTAAATTAGATTAGCGATGGCGTCTCTTTGCCGATTGTTTGCGCGGCGCCACATGTCCATGATAATGCGTCAAAATTTTGCCAAAAGCTGCGAGGAGAAGCTTAACGATCAGATCAATATGGAGCTGAAAGCCTGCCATCAGTACTTGGCAATGGTAAGTGAGATAGAGCGATGCCCCCCCGAGAGCGGAGATCCTTGAGCTATTCAAACCCGACAGGCCTACCATTACGATCGGGCCGATGTCAGTTCACCGGGCGTCCACAGGTTCTTTCTGCAGGCCAGCAACGAGGAGCGTGAGCATGCCGAGAAGATCATGAAGTATATGAACAAGCGTGGGGGCCTCATACGCCTCAGTGCCGTGCCCGTGCCCATAGCCTGCTTTGAGGACACTCTGGCCGGACTGAAGCATGCCCTGCAAATGGAGCTGGAGGTCAATCAGCATCTGCTCGATGTGCATGCCCTGGCCGGGCAGGAGAACGATCCGAATCTGTGCGATTTCATTGAGGCAAACTTCCTCCAGGAGCAGGTCGATGGCCAAAAGGTGCTCGCCGACTACATACGACAAATGGAGCGGGCCCAGACCGATCTGGGGGAGTATCTGTTCGACAAGTATATCACCACGGCGGGCATGCATCCCAGCCCAGATGCGAAAGGACACTGAACCCACCTCCGTTTTTTGTATACCCAAAAAAAAATACTTTTTTTTTTTTTTCGATCTTTATAGAAATAAAGATTTTGCTGGCGCGACTTATCAGCCGCTGAAGCAGCAGCAGCAGCAGCAATAAATCTATAAATAAACCCGCTTATCAAGTGTACAACAATATAGGCACCACCACCGACCGCATCGCTCGATTGGCAACACTGAAGATTTTTGTTAGTAATTGAAAAAAACCTCGAACCCGTTCCCCCCAGAGAGATACAGACTAAGAGAGAGAGAGTGGAAGAGAGTGGAAGAGTGAGAGCAGCGGCCCCATTAGTTCGCATTCGCATTCGCATTGTTTTTTTTTTTTTTTTTGATTACCTTGAATATAAGTATGACGTAGGAAAAGAAATACTCGTGCACTACTCGTAAAATAATGAATCAATTAGATGATCTTTTAAAGGAGCTACACGCAATCAAGCGCCTATTTTGAACAATGTACAAGCTGATATATTGAAGAAGATTTGGCAGCCAATACACGCACACGATTTGGATGATTCAAGGTACTGCCACAAGTATTGCAGGGAAAATCATTTATTGCAGGAAACAATCCAAAAGATTGCATCAATGCTGAAATTATGAATTAAAGCTGCATTGGGGCACACTCTCCCAGTCCCAGACGCTCTTTCTTCATTAAATCGAGTATTTTTTTTACTTTCAGAACTAAAAATATGTCAAGGGTTAAATAACCTAGAAAAAGTGATCTTGCTAGCTTTAAATCATTTAAGTGACTTTTGTTTGTTGAATCTGCAAATTTAACACCAAATTCGAAAGCCAGGTGTTCAAAGAGCCAAATAATAATGAGCCCATGGGGCGATGTGTTGCTGCCATTACGTAGATATTTATTATTGTTGTTTGTGATTCTGGATTGCAAATGAAACTACTCTTTGGGGCAAAAATGATTAAATACCAAGAGAAGACATTTTGGGGAATATCTTCTACAAAAAATACAGCTTCTGAACACCATCAAGGTCCGTTATTCAGAGCCAAAAAGATCATTAAAGTTCTGTTGTTTTTCTGCTCATAAATCAGAGTTCGATTAGGCTGCAAGATCATCGATCATCCGCAGCAAAGGCTGCAAGAACCCAAAGGGGAAATTAATTGAAGGTATTCCCAATGCTTGATTTACAAAGAGAAATAAATATGGAACTCCAAAATATATCTCGCATCTCTAGCAGAACAATATCCGCAATCCACAATTAAATTATCACCTAATCAGTCGCCCCCATGAAGTGCGCTTAATGGATGCATCAGCTGAGATATCTCTGAGATCAAGACACGACTCCCTGGAGTTGTCTCTGGTCAGCATTTGTTATAGAAATCTCACCCAGAATTGCCAGACGAGCGAGCGAGCGAATGAGAGTCGTCTGTGGATCTATTGGGTCTATGGCTCAATTGAAAAGCGCGTCGCATTTCCGGCTTAAGGCCGTATCCACATCCACATTGGATGGGGTCTCGGGTCGGGTCGGGCTGGGCCGGGCCGGGCTGGGCTGGGCTGTGTGTCCCCAATAAATTGTTGTCATAAGCGCTAGACAAAGCCTCGCCTGGCCTGCCCGCCTGCCTGCCTGCCTGTCCGTCCGTCCTCCCATTGCGGCCGTTAGACGCTGTCGCTGAGATCGTCGTCGTCGTCGACCCGACCGTTGGCGCACTTGTCCCAATTAAGATTTTCGTCCAATCCAATACAATTTTCATTCCATCCTACTCTTCATCTGCATCTGACGCGACGGCTGAGATTGAGACACAGCTGCCGGCGAGCACACGCTTCTGGGGCAGCATATATACATACATACATACATATGTACACATATATACCTGAGATCTGAGCTGATCTGCTCGTACACATGCCTCGCAGATAAATGGAAAAGGGTGTCGATCCGTAAAGATGTAAGATGCAAGAAATCGTTGCAAATGGAAATTTGCTTTTCAAACGAATGGAATTATTGATGGATCGACGACGCTGAACGAGAGAGCCACAGCCCAGGAAGAGCCGTTTGCTTATGCGAAATTTATGCAACAAATCAACACGTCATGAATGTGCCTTAGATTTCCGTCTTACCGCATTTTGAGTCATTGTCTAAACTTGAACTTAGGACGCGATAAATGTCGAACCTTCTTTCCGCTTGGAAGGCCCGTGTATGTATATATGGCCCGTCGTCGTCGTCGGCATTGGGTGTAATAAATCTTGAGATAACCTTTTTTATATGGCAACTACTTGAGTTCTGTTTCTCTGTGTTGTTTGCCTTGGAAGGCAAAGCGCGTGTGTGTGTATGAAGCCCATGCATGAATGGGGGAGGTGGGGGGAGGTCTGGGAAAAGTTGGGCCATCTATATGGATCCTATCCTGTATTATCATCACTTTCGCTCTCTTGGCATGGAATTCTGATACTGAAATAATTCTGAAAAATGGCACTGAATGAGTTATTTGTGTCAGGCATTACTCGTGATGGAATTGATTCATTAACTCACGAATAATGGCAGAAACTGAACTGCATTATTCATTTGCTGAATTCCATTAACATTCATTTGTCCAAAAGAATTTAAATTGTGATTTATCGATTCTCTTTAGCATTGGAAGCACGCTGTAGATTACTCTTTGTATCTGTGGCAGAATTTTGAATCTGAATCTAAATTGTATGTATTTATTTCCGAGAAGCCAGTGCGGATGTACACCAATAATTCTAGTGGTTCTTCTCAGTTTCTAGGGCATAATGTGGCACAGTTTCTGGCGAGTGAAGGATTGCACACAGGATAGTTCTAACGGGAATTTACTCGGCGACAGTTCTCGCTACACAGATCACTCGACCTCCCGCTCTCTCCACTACTTATTCACTCGCTCCAGTCCTCAGTCGCTACACTAGGGAGAGCCCTTCAGCCCTCTCTCATTGCATTCATCTCTCGCTCTAGTCCTCAAACTTTCTGCTAACGTCGCCCAGTATTCAAGTAGCTTTCGCACTCGTTAGTGGCAGCAATTAGCAGCGGTGTAATCATTATCATCATGGAGGGGGCACCTCAGGTTAGAGCACGGATCGCGGGGTCTGTTGGGATACTGGTCTGATCGGGCTGGGTTGTTGGGGGGCCTAATGGAAATCAATTTTCCAATCCAATCCAATCCGATTCGCAATGCAGTATGTCGCGGCTCAGAGTAATGGGGAGGGAGGTTCGGTCTCCATGCTTTAATTACCCCCGATCCAGCCTGCCATGGACTCTGAGAGTACGCGTGTGGTGGGGAGTGCTGCTGTGCGATTATGGATCGACCTTGTGCTCATACTCGAAGAGAGCCAAAGAGAGCCACAGATACACAGTGAAAGGGGGAAGGAGTGGCAGGGGGGGACTGAATTCACGCACATTTGCCAATCATCAAATTCTGTGTGTAAATATACGGGCGGAAAGGTAAACCACGGGTAAAAATAACACCAACAACCGCAGAAATGCCGCAAAAAGCAATATTTCTGCTGTTGCCGAGATTTTGTGTGTGTGTGTGTGTGTGTTTTGTGCTTTGTGGATTTGTGTTTTTATGTTGGGTAAATAAAAATGCTTTTCTAAATATGAATGATGCATGGAAATTCGCCGAATCGAACCGAACCGAACCAATCCATTCATTCTCCTCCGTCCATTTATTTGCTTTTGGGCTTTTAACAATTTCCATTTGCATAACAAGGCCAACCAACACAAATCTTATTCGCTAAAAGGTTTGTTCACCTGAACAGAACCGAACGCAAAGCTTAATGAAATTTCCATATAACATATTAAACGTTTTCCCCCTGAAGATTACGGGAAAAGAACGAGATGGCCTCAAAGTTTTGATACCAATTTCCCACCAAAATAGTCATTGATTAATAATTAATTACTAATTATAGTTAGTTGTTCCCTAGTTGGAACAAATTTCTTTCAACAGCAAAATTCCCCCCCCCCTGGATAGGGGGGGTTCCCACTGCAGACTTAAAGGAAATTGTTCATAGAATTGCCTTTTGGAAAAGAAAATTTGTAGGGACATTCTGGGGGAAATATTTTGGTTGCCCCAAATAAACAATGATCCTCCATAGATTTTCCAAGAATTTCACCAATAAATTATTTTTTCAGGCGAATATTTTGTGCACTTTTGCGGGGAAATTTTTGGAAGCCGCACCCCGCTGGGCACGTGGGCAATTTTCCAAGAGATAAAACTCACAAACAGCCTTGTGACGTAACCAAACAACGGAAGTGGGTTGGAATTAAACAACAACAACAGCAGCAACAAAAAGAGTTAAAACAAACAAAAAAATTTATTGAAGAAACTGAAACCGATACTACGGCAGAGGTAGTGGCAGAGGCAGAAGGCAGGGACAGAGGAGAACCTTATCGATGGATGGATGGGAAGGCTGTTATCAGTAGAAGCAGCGACAGAAACAGCCGCAGCAACGGCTAAGGCAGAAGCAGCAGCAGCGGCAGCTGCTGACAACGTCATCCATAAACCATAAAAAGAAAAGGAAGCAAAACCCAGCCAGGGGCAGGCAATAGAACAGCAAATTCAATTTTCATTTCACAAATTTAATTAAACAATGATATGGTTTATATTTTTTGTTTACTTAGAGATCGGATCGTTGTGCGAATGGGGGTGGGGGTGAGGGCGGCCTTTGATAGCCGACTGACAATCTGTGTGGCGCCTTTTACAGGCAACTTAAATGGAATGCCCAGAAACAACTGGGCAGATTCTGATATTTGAGAAGATTTTGAAATAAGAATAAAAATAAATAAAATAAATAAATAAAAACTACTTTTTGGGTTCTCTTTACAAACTCTCAACGATACGACCATGGCTTCTGGTTTTAAGACATTTCCATCCTTTGTTTCACTCTCCCTCCCTCCTTCGCTCTTTGGCTCTCTTCGAGTATGAGCACAAGGTCGATCCATAATCGCACAGCAGCACTCCCCACCACCCGCGTACTCTCAGAGTCCATGGCAGGCTGGATCGGGGGTAATTAAAGCATGGAGACCGAACCTCCCTCCCCATTAATCTGAGCCG